CCGGTCCTGCCGCGCCTTTAAAACCTCTCACTCCAACACGATCGACGTATGTCACATCCATTGCATCTTTTATACCGACCTTAATTGTTTCATTTAATTCCCAACAAGTAATGTATATCGTTAATGCGATATGGTAAAGTCCTTTTAAATTTTAATGTACAACGTAGTACAAGTGTTTAGGTATTTGGAAGGCTGAGGTGAATTTTTTTCGTTTACATTTCGCATGCATTCGAAATGTGCCTCTCATTACGTAATATTGTGTCGTAAGTACTTTAATATACCACTTACTTGTATAGGTACAGACGTACCACTTAAAAAACTGTAGGGGATATTGTAATGTCCAAAGTTTTGTGGTAAGTTACAGTCTGCTTTGGGGATATTTTGAGTTTATTTTAAAGAATTAGTTAATTTGTTAGTTTTTTAAAGACAACTCCCGCATTAGGAATATATCCTGTGTAGCGGGGGACTTTACAAACATACATGAAACGGACACAAAGAACTATTATTTTCAATAATACAATATTATGTAGTTTCATTTGTATGTACTTACCGCAATGTCAAGAGTAATCTTTCTTCAATATTATTAGGATTTTTAAAACGTGTTGTCTTTAATTGAAATTCAGACTTAATAGCAGCAATAATGTAATCGAAAATATAATTTTATAAACGTTTCTTAATTTTGGATATACTTAAACTATGGAACTTAACATATGTGTTTCTTTGTAAAAATATTATATTTGTTTCCTTTCTGTGTTCTTTACTGTAATATATATTTTTTAGTCTTCTTCTTCTTTAAAAAAGACAACTCCCGCATTAGGAATATATCCTGCGTCGCGGGGGACTTTATAAACATACATGGAACGGACACAAAGAACACCCAGACTCAGAACAACAATTTGTGGATCACAAAAAGTGTCGTGGGGATCGGACCCACAACACTCAGCGTAGTAACCACTTCGCCATCCGAGCAGTTTTATGTGCAGTAAAGATTTTATGTTACTTGATAAAGATGGATGGGAGTAAATAAAATTTAGCTGTCGCGGCACATCTGGCCGCCTGGCAGATGTGAAACATTAATTGCGTCTACGGACGTAGACGCAATTAATGTCTGACCATCAGCATTAGATGTTTGACATCAAAAACAGGGATTTACTGGGATGATATATGGGTTAAACGAGCAGGCCAGAATGGTCACGTGATGGTAAGTAACTATTTGTACGGTTTTTATCTTTTACTAGCTGACCCGCGCAACTTCGTCTGCGTCTCTCAATAGTAATAAATTTTCTCCGTTTTTGAAACATTCTTCATTGGTGCTCCGCTCCTATTGGTTTTAGCGTGATGATATATAGCCTATAGCCTTCCTCGATAAATGGGCTATCTAACACTGAAAGAATTTTTCAAATCGGACCAGTAGTTCCTGAGATTAGTGCGTCCAAACAAACAAACAAACAAACTCTTCAGCTTTATAATATTAGTATAGATGCATAGTTCAATTTGTGTTGCTTAGCTAAAGCATGAGGGCATTCTCCGGCTAATGTCACGTCCAACAAGCCTCCTCCTATATCTGGGGGTTCCATTAAAAGGACGTCAACGCATTAGCGTCTCTTGAACATCAGGTGCGTGCCCTTACGCACCTGGTGGTAGTCCTAGTAATCTGTCTGCTCCGCCACCCCCCCCCCCCCCCCTTACACCGTAAAAAAAAAAAATTAAATATCATGGAACGGGACTTTTATTTAATCAAAACTACCTTTAATTAAAAATCTTTTTATTAATTACTTATCTTTGGTTTTGGCAGAACTTTCTAGATATACATTTTGACTATATATATATGTTTATATTATAAGGCTTATATAAATAAAAATAATATAATAAAAACTGCATGAGGGGTCTATGGACCCCCGGTCGGAACGAAGTGCCTTTTAATTTTTGGTAGACATTTGCTATTATATATTTACGAAATATGAAAAATTTGTGAGCGTCGACGCGTCAACTATAGTGTCGGGAGAAAGTCTTGTTACACGCGGAATAAGGAACTTTGCTCCAAAAATTGTTCAAGCGGCAATAACACTTACAGACATAGATAGACAAAAGGATAGAACAAATATATGTTTTTTTTTTTCAAACCTAAAACCGATTTCGTTAGACTCATCAACACTCCTTGCATAAGGCATAACTTATTTCTTTATAAATAAAATCAGTGTCCAGTATCATAACATTGTATAATAAAAAATGTTTGAGGTCAACCCCGATAGATGGCGTTGTACCGTTGCACTGAATCGCGTTACTGTTACGTTACCGAGTGAGTATTCTCATTGTGATTGATTAATTAATCTCATTTCTTGCATTATAGTATGTTTGTTCTAGTTCTTTTTGAGGAAAGAAGTTAAGGTGAAAAAATAGTCTTGAGCACATAAACTTAACTTTTGTTATTTTTTTAGACAGAAACAGTAATTAAACAATTTGTATATGTTTTCACAAGTGTTTTTAGCAGTCAACTGCATACATCACATAATTATAGTTAACAGATCCTCTAAAAAAATTATTATCATAATTATTTAATAATTAAACACAACTCACAATTATATAAATTAAAATTACAGTTATGTGAGATCCAAATAATATTGTTTGCAATAATCTAAAAGGTACATTTAATTATTGTATACAGTATGTTACAGAAATTGGGTTCATGGTTTAGGAACACGTGGCTTGTGTCCACTTATAACAAATTGCTTGGTTTATAGTCTCAAATTATAAATGAAGAGACATAGATAAGAAATAACCAGTATATTTCTCATAAAAGTTAAAGATTATTAATATTTTTTTAAAATAAATTCGAACAAAATAGGCATTAAGTCAAGTGACAGCGAACACCAATCAGAAAGTGTTACGTCACGCCACGCAAAACATTATTGTTGTTGTTGACGTTTCCATACAACAGACCAGGTTAATCCTTATTATTTTTCGTTTTTTAGCATATTTAAACAGTATTGTTTCGCAGACTGTGACGTCATTCTAGACGCCATGACACTATTCAGCGTCTTCAAGGGAAATTTAATTGTTTTTTTTTAAATACAAAATACATAATGTAAATATTGCATTTTCTTCAAAATATAAGTTTTTGGGATAAAATAGATATTAAAGTATATAATTAACCAAGTTTTCAAATTGAGTCAACTAGCCTATTAGTTAATTGATATTGTAAAACAATTTTTTTCATGTGTCAGATATTTTATTTCGGTCTCGTGGCATTTGTGAGTGATCGTGAGATTTTATATATTTACGTTGAAATTTTGTGAAAATGTTTTGTATTAAATAATTATAGCTTTATGTAAATATTAGCTCTCTCCTTTAAAATGTTATGGTTTAAGTTAAATTTCTCTCCTTTTAAATTTGTTTTTTTTTTAAATTAAATTATGACCCCATCTTTCTGTAACCGCCTGTATATGTATTAAAACACAAACCAACACACAACCAAATAAACAGATATATTACTAATATTATAAAGTATTAAAAAATGCCTCTGATTTGTCTAAATAACTATAGTTCAGTGAAATATATAATTTAAAAATACGGAAGAGATTCACTAACCACCTTCTGGTTTCATCATCAGACCATCGCTACTAAGGGTACATCCATAAATCACGTCACACGTTGAGGGGGGTCCTAAGTCTCGTGACGTCACATTTCAAAACCTAATATATTAGTAATATAAATCATCGTTTGATGTTAATTTTATTCAAAAAAATTGAAACAGCGCCATCTAACGAAGACACACCGAACTACGGAGTAACTATTAATCCTGTATCTCGATATGAATAATTCTCATGCTGATTATACAATTGCTTAACAGTAACCATTGGCCGCGGTCCGCCAGCCATGATCACCTCACTTGGTCGGAGGATCCCCCCCTTTGTGTTGGAGGGATATAACCGTTCTTCGTTAAATGATTAAAATGATTTCAGAACTGTTGTTTTGATTTAATAATTTTTAGATAGTCCGTGTGGTGATTACGAATACGGAGTGTCACCACCCCTGTGTGTTCACCATACGGGTGTCGTGTCTACGTCTAGCTGTGACCTATTAAAGGCTGATGATGAGAATGAGATCTAAAATTGTTGTCTCTGAGGCCGTGGTATCACTCCGGTCGAAACGCCCCATTTGTGCCAAAGCATTGCTATCCTACGTTACTCAGCAATAAGGTTCATAATTCTATGAACATATTATATTTCCATACGTTTAGCCAACTTTTAACCAGATTTAATTTTTTATTCTGTAATAATTCCTATATTATACATCTAGTAATTATACAGTGTGTTTCAAAACAGGCTTGGGTATTTCTATATACATGGTGTGTCATATTTTTGGATATGTATGTGAAACCGATGTGTAGATTACGTAGATCGGTGTGACACACGGACAGACGGACAAGAAATCGATCTTATAAGGGTTCCTTTTTTAGGTTTTGAGATACGGAACCCTAAAAATAACTAAATATGTTCGGACATCTGACACACAACGCCATCTAGTTTCAAACTAAGCAGAGATTGTACTATGAAAGTTAAATTGACTGATAGAATACTTATACACTTGTTTTGTATATACATTGAAAACATCCAAACTCCAAAACAAATGTTTGCAGATTTTACAAACATTTGCTCTGACCCGGGAATCGAACCCGAGACCTCACCATGCAGTCGCGTACGCTACCACTCATCCAAATGTACATTTTAATATATCATTTCGATTGTTTTCCCCAGTTATTGTACCGTACAACCCTAAAATACGAACACTCATTTTTAAAACATCATGTATATAGAAATTAAAACAATATTAGGTTTGAATGTGTTAATAATTGCTTAAGCTAAATTAGCCCAGTGTTGGGACAACAGTTTTTGTTTAAACAAACTAGTTTTACTATTATTATTATAAGTGGGCAACTTTGCCCAACAGTGGGATTACATTATACTAGTTAAGTAGCGTGTATTTTAGTATTACACTATTTAAAGCACTAGTGATATAGTCGTGTTCTTCACAGAAGATTTTGTCCAGCGCTGGGGTTGAAGTCGCTCAGTCGGGAAGCCAGTGCTGGGCTCTCCACAGAAGACAATAGTAACCGTTATAAGTGTTTGTAGTGTGGGAAGACTGAAATGAGAAAAAAACACTAAAAACCTAAAAAAATCTAAGTACATACAAAATCCTATATTTAATGGTTAATTTTAATAACTAGCTGGACTCGCGAATTTAAAAATCGCTGCCTTAGTGGTGTAGTAAGGTACGCGAGTGCAGTCCATGAGGCCTCGGGTTCGATTCCCGGACCGGGCAAAATTCTATAAGGTTTTTCTGAGAGGAAAAATATCCCAAGTTACTCCTTATTTAGACAGCTACCTGGTAGTAAAATATTATCAAACTTGGTCTAGCCGTTTTGAGCCGATTACCCGGAACAAACAGACAACCAAATACATTTAAATTGGATTTTAGGCATAGGTATCGTGCAAATAAAAGTGTGAGCATGAAAAAAAAAAAAATTATTTTGACATTACAAACAAACACTTTAAATTTATTTATTTGTACAGCTAAGGAAGATCCCACTTCAAATAAAAAACGAAAGCTCAGTAATCAATATTAAGTTTGCCCCCCTTAGGGGATGGTATTATATTGTGGAGCTAAATATTATCAATATGACAAAATACTTACGTAAGGAGCGTACCGCTGCAGGAGTGGCCTATACCCGTGGCCGAAGGTGGCCATCATGGCGCACTCGCCTTCCTTGTGAGGATGCAGAGGTATTATAACACTGACCTGAGATAAGAAACATAAAAAATATTATCTTCGTTTTTATCTGTGGGTCAAAAGTTGGGTATAGACCACAAAGAAAAAAGTCGTCGACAAAACTAAGCACATGTTAATACTCACATCCTCCTCGTAGGGTCTGAAGACGGTGAGGGGCCGCAGCGAGGCCGCGTCGGCCACGATCACACAGCCCCAGGCCGTGCCCACGTACAGCTCCCCGCGCAGCGCGCACAGCGCCGTCACCTGCCGCACGGGTACACGGTAACAGTCACATCTGTCAAGTCCCGCCCCCTGACCAATCAAACTCCAACAAATTTTCATTTCGTACGAAAGCTTGAAACGTGATTGGTCAGGAAGCGGTCTTAATCGATGCGTCACTCTTTTCTTAACGCGAATGAACTATAACTTTTTTGGTAATATGTTAGGGAAGGATAAAAGGGGCTCACAAATCACATCATCACATCAACAGCCTTTAATAGTCCACTGCTGGACATAGGCCTCTCCTTAGAAAGAAGGTTTTGGCCTACTATACCACGCTGGCCAGACGGGTTGGTATAGGGTTTGTGATAAGTTTTCCGTCTTTTTGCAATGCTGTTGTCCTGCTTAGTTTGCTCCCTTAGTCGGCTCTTACGACACCCACGGGAAGAATTGGGGTAGTGACATTCCGTATTCTTAATCCGTCACTACACGGACTACTATAAAAGGGGCTAATTTTACTGAACATGCCCTGGCCAGAGTGGTGATTATCTGGAGAAAGGATAGGGTAGAAGTACCCGAACCCGTCGATCTTGTGTGACAGATTTTATGACAATAGAGGAAATACGTAAAATATCATAATAATAAATGATAACTTAATGACTCTTACACACGGCCGTCTGATCAAGCTAGGCAAAATCTGTACTATGGTAACCAGACAGCTGATAAACATACTTATATATTTCTAAATACATACACATTATGAATGAATTACACCCAGACACAGAAAAACTGACCATGTTCATTAATACACAGTCATGTTCTGGGTAAATGTCGTCGGGCGATGACCACGGTCACGTGTGGCTCAGACATGGGTACGGCAGGGAGTACTCCAATAGCCGCCGATGCTACTACCGACTGCAAAGGTAGGCCGCCGCTCGATTTATTGGGTAGACCGGTTCTCCTGGAGTCCCACACACGCCCTCCGTTTGACCAGCGGAGGGTAAGGTGCGAAAAGCATTTCCCGCGTAAAAAGAAGGCATAAAACCCACGATCTCCAGCTTAACAGCCAAGGTAACCGAACTAGACCAATAAGACATTCAAATGTAAGCAATAATAGAAGTAAGAGGGGATAGACTAATAGTAATGGAAGTAGGGGGAACTGACAATCATCAACAGCCTTTACTAGTCCACTGCTGGACATAGGCCTCTCCTTAGAAAGGAGGTTCTGGCCTACTTTGCCACGCTGTCCAGACGGGTTGGTATAGGGTTTCTGTCAAGTTTTCCTTCGTTTTAGAGTGCTGTTGTTCTGCGTACTTTGCTTCCCTAGTCGGCTCTTACGACACCCACGGAATGAATAGGGGTGGTGACACTCCGTATTCTTAATCCGTCACCACACGAAGCATGAAAATGACATTATAATGGTGAGTTACTTACCCTACACTTTTCTTCTGAGAGATGTTCATCCAAGGCGATGGACTGCAGGCTCTCGGAGCAGGGGACCAACTTGCTGCAGTCCAACCGCCCCGACTGTTGCTTAGTGCGAACTGACCACTGGTACACGCATACCCCTGGGTAACATATACCATGAGGGTAAAATACAGGACATTGAGTGTAACGGGTGTACCAGAAAGGTATTTTTTCGACGACGAATCACCTGATGGCAAGGGGGTACCGCCGCCGATGGACTCCGCCTTTTAAGCCCTCCCCTCCAGAATTTTTGTGAAGGGGAAGGGGAGCTCTTTGAAGCGCCGGTAGCTAGCTCACTCACTCAGTGAAAAGCAGTTGAGGAACCAGACTGAGGCCTTGGTTTTGAGAAGCCAGTAGAACAGGTGTTTATTATTTGTGCAGATGTATGCTTACAACAAAGAAACATCGCGTGGTCCAGAGTATACCAAAGTAACTTGTAACCGTTGATCAACTCACCAGGGTCGCTGTACACAGCTACGTAAGGCTCGTGGTCTGATGCTGCAAGGAGCGTCACTCTCGGAGCAGCCTCCATGGTGTCAGCCCCACATACTCCCGAAGAGTTTATGGAGTAGGAGTACAGCCTGTCACCGCCCGCCCACACTTCCCAGCTGTAAGAAACAGTGAACTATAGTTGTTCTGTAGTCTTCTAGAAGCCACTTTAGTATGAGAAAGTCCCAGCTTCCCCCTAGTTAGAGCTTGGTTATCACATTGTCCAGCTAGTCCTCAGAGTAGGGCGTCTGAGTACGGTCGTCGAGGTGATTTTCCCCATGGCCTCCCCATGTTTAGGTCATGTTGTACTCACCCATGCGGCGTAGGTACAGCGGTAAGACAGCATAGTTCAGTTGCAGTCCCGAGTTCGGTGAGAACGAAACTGCCCTCCGCTTCCGGACGGTGTGAAGTTACTAGGAATAACCTACAATATACACGAACTCAGAGTTAATTTTTTTAGATTCTACTGTTTCTTAAAATATAAGAAAATAATATAAAAATAAAAACATAAAAAAAATGTTATTTTTATGTTTTATCCTTAGAAAAAATCAGAATATTTAGTTTATCTTCCAAAAAACGCTTTCCTCGTTCAATTTCAGTGATTTCATTATCCGGATATATCCGGACAAATCTGGATATTTAATCCATATATTTATTACTTTTAATTTTATTTCATATCATTCTTCTCTGATGTGTAATTTTTAAGGTTGGATAATTACCAGCTGTAAAGAGTCTCACCTGCCACAGCTGAGGGCGACTGCGACCCTGTGTAGCTGGTTCAGCGGCTGCAGGGCCGCTACTCCGGAGGGAGCTCCCCCTACTGCTTCTTGAACTCGCACCGTCCATATCAGAGCGCAGGTTGATGATCTTGTAAATATTGAAAAATATTTTTCTATTTCAAAAGATATTTTAATAGCAAAGTACCAGGGATCGCCTCTTACGTCGGGGCACCAGGGATTTCTTTTCTAGGGTACACCTACGACCTTCAAACCTTCAAGAAAAGAGCGTACTCCTTCCTAAAAGGCCGGAACCGCGTTTGTGACTCCTGAGTTGCAGACGTTCATGGGCGGCGATGGTCACTTTCCATCAGGTGACCCGTCTGCTCGTCTGCCCCCTCTTACAAAAAAAAAAACCTCGTTCCCCGACTACTGGTACCTTAGACGGCGTGCGGTTTTAGTCGGTTCGAATCCGACATTACCACCGGTAAGTGGTATCCGAGGGGATTTCCGCACAGAAAAAAAAGGGATCGTCTCTTAGTCCTCTCACCCTAAACAGACATGGTAAAAGGGTAGGAAGATGGTTATATATCTCTGTATATATTATATATATTTAAGTCTTGGGAGAACCATACTTCGGCGCAGGAGGTAGTGACTATAAGACCATTATGCCCCAAATTACATCTTATATATAAAATTCTCGTGTCACAATGTTCGTTCCCGTACTCCTCCGAAACGGCTTGACCGATTCTCATGAAATTTTGTGTGCACATCGGGTAGGTCTGAGAATCGGCCAACATCTATTTTTCGTACCCCTAAACGCTAATGGTGACCCATCCCTAATTTTTTTTTTGTTTTGCAATACAACGTTTGCAGGGTCAGCTAGTATTTAAAAAAAAATCCGGACAATTGCGAGTTGGATCCGCCCACCGAGGGTGCCGTACAAATTTGAAGGTAAGTATATTTTTTAAATATTTTTTATATATTCGGTTTTTAAAACCTATGAATAATTATGTTCTAGTTGAAATTGTAACTCGATGATTGATTATGTATTTTAAAAAAAGCCGTGTGGTGTCGTGGGACACCCGATAGGAACGAAGTTGTGACGATCGAGTAAAACTGATTCGGCACATTTTAATTACAACGCCATCTATGAAAGCGGCTATTACCTACATATTTTTCAGTTGGTTTCTAATTAAAACAATTTATACATTGGTAAAATCTCCTTGAGAAATGATTTCCTATCTATTCGATAGATGGCGCTGAATGACTGACATAAAAAGATAGAAATGAAAATATCTGGCTTGCTTTCTATAAGAGAGAGAGAGAGACAGACAGAGAAACATGCGACGCCGCACAGCTTACAATAGCTTACTATAGCAAAAGTGTCGTGACCAATTTTCGTAAGAATTTCTTCCGTCTAGCCCCCTTTCACAACGCGCGATAAGGAACTTCGTTCCAATAAAAATTATAATTTTCATGATTTAATTACAAATGTATAATTTTCAGATTTTTGTCTTTACTTGTAGTATAAGACGATGTTATTTGCCAAATTTCATAGTTCTAGGTCAACGGGAAGTACCCTTTTTTTTTCCGTGCGGAAATCCCCTCGGATACCACCTGTCGGTGGCATGTCGGACTCGAACCGACTAAAACCGCACGCCGTCTCGGATACTAATAGCCGGGGAACCAGGCATACCCTAGAAAGGAAGTCCCTGGTGCCCCGACATAAACGGGAAGTACCCTATAAATTTTGCTTCCCTTGAGTGTCGAAATATACAGCTTCAAGAGACTGTAGACCTAAGTATACGGTTTATAATTTCAACTCTATAACTGTGTTCGCCAGATAAAGGGTCTTGATAGACAGACGGACAGCAAAGTCATCCTATTAGGGTTTTTGAGGTACGGAACCTTTAAACTACATATATACAGAGGTAGGCCAAAACCTCTTTTCTAAGGAGAGGCCTATGTCCAGCAGTGGACTAGTAAAGGCTGTTGATGATGATGATATACAGAGATTTATAATCATCTTCTTGTATTTAGTTGGCACTTATAATAATAATAATAAGTTCACAAGCTGCCGTCTGATCCCAAACTAGGCGGAGCCTGTACTATGGTAACCAGACTGCTGATAAACATACTTATATATTTCTAAATACTAACATGTTATGGATAAATTACATCCAGACACAAAACAAATGATCTTAATCATCACACAATTCTTTGTCCTGGGTATTATATCACCTTATCTATACAAATAAATAAAATTGGAGTGTCTGTTTGTAATATTAAAATAACAGCTTTTTACTAAATGCATATGTATGTTTACACGGTACATATGCCAAAATAACATTTTTTTACAATTTTTGTCTGTCTGTCTGTTTGTTCCGGGTAATCTCTGGACCGGCTGGACCGATTTCGACGGGACTTTCACTGGCAGATAGCTGATGACATAAGGAGTAACTTAGGCTACTTTTTTTAGACTAGCTTCGCCCCGCGGCGTTGCCCGCGGTTATAACAACAAACGCGGGTAACACCGCGGGTCTCAGCCAGTATTATGTATGTGTGTACTAACGAGTATACAGAAATCCTTCCAGCGGAGTCTCCCAACCACATCTTGTTGCCAACGCGGCATATGGCAGTTACCAACACTGCTTCTGTTTTATCTAGTTAACAAAAGAAACAAGAAGATAATTATTGAAAAGAAAAAACCCGACTGCGTAAAGGGGTGCCTTTACCTTTTTACACGGTCGGGTTTTTTTTACTTCACTTAAAAGTTACCAATAAAACGGAAAATTAGGGGCAACAGTGAAGTGTTTTTTCCCACGAAATAAAAACAAAAACCTACATTTTTTGTGTCATTGCGATAGCACAATCTATGCCGTATTAACTAATAATTTACTATTCTGTGGCATACAGATTGTACTGTGTGCTCTAGAACACGGATATCTGTACTTAGGAATTTCTTTTTCTAAATATTGTTTACGAATCCGAATACGGAATGTCACCACCCCTATTCATCCCGTGGGTGTCGTAAGAGCCGAATAAGGGAGAAAACTTCGCAGGACAACAGCACTGCAGAGAGAAGGAAAACTTGACACAAACCCTGTACAAACCCGTCTGACCAGCGTGGTATAGTAGGCCAAATCCTCCTTTCTAAGGAGAGGTCTATGTCCAGCAGTGGACTATTATAGGCTGTTGATGTGATGTGATGATGATGTAAAATATTGTTTACTTAAAATGTCTAAATCAATGCAAAAATACAATTTATGTAGTAATGAATTTAGTATTTTTTTTTATATATATTATACCTATGTTACTTTAATCATAAATTAATAAATTTACTCAAATAAATAAAATTGAAATGTCTGTTTGTAATGTCGAAATAATAGGGTTTTTTTGTTCTCACGCGTTTATTTGCACGATGCCTATGCCTAAAACGGAGTCTTGAGTTTGTCTGTCTGTCTGTGTGTCTTTCTGTTTGTACCGGGTAATCTCCTAAACGGCTGGAGCGATTTTGTTAATATTTTACTACCTAGCTAGCTAACTATATAAAGAATAACTAAGGGTTTTTTTTTATCTCAGAAAAACCCTTTAAAATTTTGCCCGGTCCGGGAATCGAACCCACTAAAGGCATCGCTTTTCAAATTCCACGCGAACGTACCAGCTAGTTTAACATAAATAAAGTAAAATTTTATATTTTCTCTTGAACCCACCGTACAATATTTCTACATCTATCCAGCCATGGCATTAAGTCTGCCTTTGTACAACTTGTGTATTAATTTATTGTAAATAAATATGCATTGTTTGGGAATCGAATCAGCAGTAGAACAAAACATCATCAGTCGGATAAGCTAGTGGTACTCACCCGGGGGTATTCTGACGGTGTGGTGGTGGGTGAAGGCGGTAGACGTGGTGAGCAGAGTGTGGGCCCGCTCCGGTTCACCACCACCGTACCAAATCTCCCAGCCGCTGAAACCCTCATCTGTTCAGGGAATAATAATAATATACCTCACACATCTCACACACGGCCGTCTGATCTCAAACTAGGCAGAGCCTGTGCTATGGTAACCAGACTGCTGATAAACATAAATTCAAATTCAAACTCTCTTTATTTCATGAAAAATTAAAATTGTTTGAAATCGTCTTTTATGTAGACTCTAAAGTCATAGATCAACACACACAAAAGCAACAATCTCTGTTTTGTCAAATAGTAAGCAAATAAATTTAACAAAAATCAAACCCATACAAAATCTATGATATGCCTGTGCCGATCCACGACCTCCCGTTTCCAAGGGGTTGAGCCTTATGAGAAGAAAGGGCAAACAAACTCATGGCCACTCTTTTGCAATTCACAGATAGATACAATGGCAAATGGTAAGTGACTACCGACACCCATTGACATTTACAGCTCCAGATACACATGTACTCTGCCGTCTTTTAAGTCTCCCTCCAGAAGGACAAAAGGCAGACCTACTCCCTAGTAGGTCTCCGGTTCCCTTAATCGCTCGGTGAAAATCGGTATAATTTTTTAAATGTAGGACATATTTTTTCTCACGCTTTTCGGCAATCTGTGGGTATCATCCGTGTGGTGACGGAATAAGAATAGCGTCGTGGAGCGTTACCACCCTTCTTCAACCCGTGGGTGTTATAAGAACCGATTGAGGGAGTAAACTACGCAGGATAATAGCACTGCAAAGAGAAGGAAAACTTGAAACAAACTTTTTACCAATCTATATAGTCAGCGTGGTATAGAAGGCCAGAACCTCCTTTCTAATGACCTATATTCATCGACTAGTGAAAGTCATTGAAGATGGTGTAGGGTTGAATTTGTGAAAAGGGACGGATTTGTGTAACAGGGAGTGAGGGAGATATGTGTAACGGGGAGTGAGGGAGATATGTGTTACTTTATTGTTCGTCAGATGGTAGGTGAGAATTCAGACGTAAAGTACAAGGCGCAGAACATAAAAATGGAGACAATGGCTATAGGCTAGAGTATACAATAGTTCATTGTGTATGTCGCGCGAGTGGGCCGAGCGGTGCGGCACTGACCGTGGTGCGGCGCGGCGAGGCGGGCGGGCGCGGCGGCGTGGGCGGGGCGGGCGGCGGCGGCGTCGGCCAGCGCCGCGTACTCGGGCGCGCCGCCCACCGACACGAGCGCGGCGGCCGACGGGCGCAGCGCCGGCGCGCCCGCCCAGCAGCGCCGCATGGTCTCCAGCATGCTGCACGGGTACTCCAGGTCCTGCGCACCGCACGCACACAACCTTCTCATTTATTTTTAGGGTTCACGATCCCTGACAAAGTTAATTAATCTCACTTGTTTTAGGAAAAAACGAATTCTGCACAAATATAATTTCTTTTATAGCTCAGACCACAAACGTTTAAACGACATATACATATTGGGGAATCTTACTTTTTTTACTGTGTGGGAATCGAACACACCGCCGCCTTATGCAATATGATTGTAGGAAGTATCAATAAATTAATAAACACACAATAAACGACATAACTTAACGGCAAGGCGACCACTTTTACAAATAAAATCGTTGTAATTTGTAACTCGATGAAACGAAAATGCGTCACGACAAAGAAACAAACACATAAATGTATAGGATTAAGTCGGCGAAAGAATGAGATAGAATACATCGCACCTTTAATAATAAAGTGAATTAATTCAAAATTTACGTTTTTCGAGTTTTCAACAAATACCAAATCAACTTCATTAGTAGAACACGAACAATCCAACAGCCGACTCGATACCATGAAAATGGCAGAGATAAGAGATCGTCGTTCTCTTTTTGACGAACTCGCACGTACATGAATGTCAAACTTTAAATGCGATTTCCCACAATATTGAAATTCTAAGTTAATTCAGTTTATGAATAGAGGTGCGACATTACACATTATTTTGAATATAATAATATAATATTGTACCACATTCAATATTGTACCACATTTAAATGTTCATGCACACAAATGTTTAACTTCAACGGGAATCGAACCCGCGACCTTTAAAATAGCAGTCCGTTACACAAACCACTACGCCATCCAGTCCTCAATTTTTTTATTAATAATATTTAATTATTTTTAATCATATATTTTAGTCTGCAAAAAAATCTATTTTCAAATAATTTAATCGTTTCACTATTTCACTCGTTCATTCAATCACTCATGCATCCATTCATTCGTTCATTTACTCACTCATCATTTTAATACAGAAAAAGTAAAGTAAAAAATACAGATATCGCATCACTCACCTTGGGTGAGAGTGAGGGTCTAGCGCCCTCCAGCACAGCCTCCTTAACAGCTTCATGACCTTCGAACGGTTGGCGGACCGTCACTATCTCATACAACAGCATGCCGTACGAGAAACAATCAACCTGAATTAATGCAAATAATATTTATTTGTTATAATATTTTTGACAACTCCCGCACTGGGCAGATATCCAGTGTCCTGAGAGACTTTACAAACATTCAATTTATGGATCACATGTGGGGATCGAACCCACAACACTCAGACCAGTAGGAAGCGGGTCTTTGAATCGGGTTGTATTTTGTGTCAAATTGGAACTCAACATGAGGTAACAAAACTGGCCAAGAGCGTATCGGGCAAAGCGCAGTGTAGTTCCGTAGTTTATTTAATACTTTATTTTTGTAATTTTTCTTTTAGGAATTAGTACTAAATTTTCAAGTATAAAAGTGACCATTATTTTTAAACTAGCTGGTTAAACTTAACCATGATTTTAAAACTTTTTTTTAAATTAATCGAGCCAACACTTGAACGAGTTTTTTCGCATTTGATTTGACAAAAACTAATATATTATAATTTGTCAAATAAATCAAATCAGGATCAAAAATTATTATATATTTACGTTTCCTCAATGTTTTTGAAATTCCTACTCATTGGGGTGGGTAAGGATATCAAGCAGTGAACAACGTAAATATATCCCACGATAGGGGAAAAATCAAAAAATATTACGAATTGGGGAGGTATGTTCATAATAAACAATTCAAGATTTTTTTTCATTTTTACACCTTTTTTTTTGTTGACGGGGTGGAAAATCCCTTCGGATCTCCTGCTCCTCGGGGACTCAGGAGCCAGGAGTATGTGGTGATTACACTAAAAACCACCCCGACGGCCGGCCTTAGGTGTCCTACTCTGGGGAGGACCCGGACCATGTTATTTCAGGTCCTCCCCGAATTGACACAATCAGGCCCTATCCCAGGGGAGAACACTTCCCCCTTCAATCGCGGCATGGCGGCTTACATTTTTACACCTAGGTTCTCTGTTAGAACTACAGAACCCTAATATTTATACGCAGACAGGTTATTTTCACATAGATTAATATTTAACATAACTTTTTTCTCTTACTTTCTCATTGTATTCCTCTTCTCCGTTGTACCGCATGATCTCCGGCGCCATGAACCCTTCAGTACCACCGAACCCTTTCGTCCCGGAAGGTGGGGCCAGTCGACTGATACCTGTTTGGATACATAATGTTTTAAACACCAGTTTATTTCGGATTCTGGCATATTGGACCAATTTCTTTCTTCTTCTTCTTTCTTTTATAATGGGATGACAACGATCGAATATCATTTGGGTCTGTCAGCCTGATAGTGACTACCACCGCCCATGAACACATGCAGTTCAAGAGTCAAATTTGCCGCCCTTTAAATCCTGTCACCCCCAGAATCACGTGGGGGGGGGGAGGAGGATTCTGGGCTTCAGTGATAAGTCACCGAGTGAGTTGTGCCAAAAGAACTTGACATAGGTTTTCTGTGAGGCCGTGGGGTCATTTGCCTTCTACACCATGAAAAGACACTTAAATGAAGACCACTCAATACGAACCGTAGTCTCCCAGTTTGACGTGGACTTGCAAAGGAGCGGCGCTCAGTTCCACGGCGGCCGCCTCGTGGGCAGCGGGCATCTGCCACACCAGCACATTCTCTGACTGCGAAAGAAAATAACAAAAAGTTACTTCTTCAATGCGCCTGCGTCGTGATTAATTGTAATATTCTGCATTCCATAATTTTACACCCTTAAAGCTATTTATTAAAGTATTTTCTTCCAAAAACAGGCCCCAACGGATATTTTTAAAATAATTTTACAAATCGGAGTTTTTTTTTTCAATTTTTATAAAACAATTCCCGCACTAGGAATAAATCCTGTGTCGAGAGAGACTTTACAAACATACATGAAACGGACACAAAGAACACCCAGACTCAGAACAACAATTTGTGTATCATACAAAGTGTTGTCCCATGTGGGGATCGAACCTACAACACTTAGCGTGGTACAACACTACGCCATCCGTGCAGTTAAAGTGTTAAAGAATAATGTTATTTCTAATTTATTACTGTATCATGTAGTATGCTGTGATATTATTTGACATTAGCTTTTCCCACGGCTTCGTTCGTGTTTCAAACTTTGACAATTACGACCTTCCAAAAAACCTTTCTTACGACTTCAAAATTATCAGCTGCTGAAATTTCTAGTTTGTAGACCCAGCAGTTCAGTCATAGTAAGTAATTTTACCTTCAAATCACGGTACACGACTCTCCTGGCGTGAAGATACTCCAATGCTCTGGCTACTTGCAAGGCCAGAGCTCGAGCGAGGCGGGGCCCGCAGCGGGCTCCACACTCGCGATAAGACCGTAGAACGCTGTCTAAAGCACCCTGTATGAGGAAAGAATATTTTAGAAATCTAGACAAATTTTTACTAAGCTTTTGGTATTCATCTGATGGAGGACCGATGGATGCTGGAACCGACGCCGCGATGAGTCTTATAGTGGAAACCATGATACGGACCAAAGGTGGTTGGGTGGATGGGATGCCGAAGGTTATGACTCTCGTTAGGGGAGGCCTATGTTCATCAGTGGACTGCAAAAGACTGATTGACTTTAGATATTCAATGTCTAGAGTATCATGGCAACCTCTTATGTGATATTTGCTCTTTATCTGATCATTTTCAAAGAAGAAATAAACATACGTTGGGAGCGAGCGCCAGTAGCAGTGCGAGCGGCGCGCAGCAGACGGCGATGAGCGGCAGCACGTGCGGGTGCTGCAGCTGCTGCAGGATGTGCAGCTCCTGTCGCAGACCGCAGTACGCTCGGCAGGCTGAGGATGTGGGTTCGCGTTCCCAACGGGACAGAGCGGCCTGCACAATATAAGAACAGACATAATATATTTTGTAGATTCATGGAAGACGTTTGAATACGTACATCATAAACTTTTACACCGTGTGCCTAATTTTATTGATGTAATTGTAGTTAAAATAACAACTTTACTCAACACGGATTTGAGAACGCGAAATGTTTCTATCATAACACTATAATTAATAGAACAAGTTAGTAGGTCTTAATAAAAGCTAAAGGTGTTCTTCAGGGTAGTATACTTGGACCTTATTATTATTTGAAGAGACTTGCCTTATACGCTTGATGTGCTTGAGTATCGCAAGTGACAGGTGGTGGTACGGGCTGCAGGGCCTTAAGAGCCACGTGCACATCTCCCGCTTCGCTCGCGCCTCTTGCCCTTCCACCACCCCCACCTCTAGTCCACCGAGCACACAGCACAGTGCCGAAAGCCCCTCGTCCCGCTACCGCCCCCCTCGTGATGTGCTCCCAACGAGCACGTTTCGATTCTTCTATATCTAGTAATAACTGCGGAGAATATTTAACGTTTACCTAACTACAATTATAAATGCGTCACTTTGGATGGATATTTGTTACTCAATCAAGCCAGAACGGCTGAACCGATTTAGATGAAATTTTTAATAGAGATTGATCACCAGCCAAGGCAAAAAACAAATATAAACTGAAAATTGAGTCTATTTATTTGATTGTCACGCTTTAGCGTCTTAATTACTGAACGGATCATTTTGAAATCTTAGGCAAACAAGCAGACAAGTCACCCGATGGTAGGAGACTACCACGACCCGTGGACAAATCCTGCAAAATCAGTAGTCACAAGTTTAATCATTTAAAGAGCTCCTACTAGAAAAAATTATAGGGACGGAGGTGGTTTGGTCCTTCTGAAACCACTCACTCGAAGAAATGCAAAGAAAGAATTGCAATTGCTTAGCAATACATCACACCAAACATTATAAAACTTGAAGATTTTATTTCACTCTCTTCTCTCACACTCTCTTACACACTCACCGTGTCAGGCGCCACATGTCGAAGTTCCACCTCATCATGTCTTCCACAATGCAGACGATGTCCAGTGCACGCACACAGTATACACTGTTCCACTGTCCACGCTGTCGCGATATTCGGGGCCGGGGTGGGGTCGTTGGCGACCCCTTCTACTGACCCCAAGCGGGAGGAGGCTTGAAAGTAAAAAGGAATGAATCAAATTATTACTCGGTATGCAACTCAACTTGAAGCCTACAGGCCATGTAGTGACGATTTGAGCAAGATGGCTGCCAGGGCTGCCGTCCCAACCAAAACACTGTAACATTTGAAAATGACTTTTGACCTTGAAAGCTTGTTACAGTTTTTTACCGTATTAAAACCCTAATTTCAATACAAAACAGTATTTTTTAGGTTATTGTCTTTTCTAAAATACACTTTGGAATAACAAAAGTGTTGAAGATTGGTACTAAACTGACGTAAAGAAACTGATTGAGCGTTGTTAAGGCAAAACACTGTAAGTCGAGTTACAGTCTTTTGGATTGGCACGGCAGAGGAGCTGAATGCAAGAAAATCGACCTAAATGGCGTTCAATGGGAGAGGCCCATATCCAGCAGTGGACTACGATAGGCTGATGATGATGTCTTCCTACTTTTTATTTCGGTTAAAACTTTAAAGAGTTTTTTTAGTCAAATTAAACTATAATTTTAATCTCATGGACTCATGATGTCATACCGTTTGATTCAGCTCCGACACCACTATCGCCATCAGAGGTGCGAGACTCCTCAGACAGCCGTAGTCTCCGGGGTTCCGCTGCACCAAGATCCAATCGTCTGAACACCTAAAAAAGTTACAGTTCATTAAATAAAGTTGGGACACTTTGTAATAATATTTTCAATAAAAATTACTATGGTATATTCGCGTTAAGAAAATAGTGACGTATCGATAAAGCCCCGCACTCTGACCAATCAGGTACCAAGAAATTTCCGTTTAGTACGAAAGCTTAAAGACAACCACTGACCTGAGCGAGATGTTCGTGGTCCGATTGAGGGGGAGAAGTTGGTGATGTGTTCCGCAGACACTCTGGGCATGGTACAATGCGGGTGATGAGGCAGCGACCTTCGGATGTGTGGACGAAACGAGTACCTGGACAAAATCAAGAAGAAGCTTCTTTAGGGCGTCGATTAGGCTGTTAGACATACAGGATTATTCCAGAAATGTGTAGTCATGTTTTCTGGTAAAATCGCTAATAAGATAAACCAGTTTTTATCTATATATCAGTATCTATCAGTATCTAGAACACCTTTTATTGCTGATAACGACTGCACGGATGGCGTAGTGGTTTAAGCGGTCGCCACGCCGCTTACCACTACGCTGAGTGTTGTGGGTCCCATCCCCACATGGGACGACACTTTGTGTGATCCACAAATTGTTGTTCTGAGTCTGGGCGTTATTTGTGTCCATTTCATGTATGTTTCTAAAGTCCCTCGCGACACAGGATTTATTCCTATTGCGGAAGTTGTCTTTTAAAAAAAGAGAAATAAGGATGAAAAGAAAATTGAGATCATATCTTACCTCAGTGAGGTAAACTATGATTCATGCTTTCTAAGGAACTAAGAAAGATGGCAGAAAGTCTGAACAACACTCACCTAAAGATGGGTACCAGTCTTCAAGTAGGAGATCCACGTGGTCGGACACCAGAGCTAGCACCTTCGCCAGGGTCTCGGGGTTAGGTTCCAGACTTATGCTCTGGAAGAGAATGGAGAGAATAATAATAACCTCACACATCTCACACACGGCGTCTGATCCCAAACTAGGCAGAGCCTGTGCTATGGTAACCAGACTGCTGATAAACATACTTATATATTACTAAATAAATAAATATTGTAAACACCCAGACACAGAACCAATGATCATGTTTATCACACAATTACTTGTCCTGGGTGGGAACTGAACCCACGATCCCTGGCTCAGCAGTTAGGATCACTAAACCAACAGGCCTGTCTACTTGTAGGTGTTGTGGGTATCCCCGACTACTGGACCCACGCTACGCCGCTTCACTTCTGGACAAACTGTCAACTCTTCTGGTCAAAATATACAAATGAAATAAACTCAAATAGACTGGAGCATACAAATAACTGTACTGAATTAGAATTGAACCTGCAACCTCTGAACTTGCGTTCTTCTGGTCTACTGGATTATCAACCTGGTTTTGCCGTGAAGATTATTCATCAGTAGATTTCAGGATCTCTTACCTGATAGCCAGCTATGGGAAGGCCGTCATCCCTCCTCACGACGCAGACCTGCGCCGGCAGCAGGATCTCTATGCAGGCTGAGGACTGGACGTCCAGCTCACACCACGCCCCTTCCTGACGAACACGGAACCTGATGACAATATAAATATTTATACAGAATATATACATATATGTTACTGTCGCTTTTAAGTAAATAGTTAACTTCTAAAAAGGTTTTTAATTCGGCTGTTTTTTATTTTTTGTTCAATGTTCACTTCACTTCACTTGTTCATTGTCGTTACCTGAGAACTCTGTTATTTATAAATCCATTTGGAAAATTCTTTGATACTTCCTTTTTGGTTCCATTTAAATTTGAACAGTTATACCACTCCTTTTTTTTCCGTGCGGAAATCCCCTCGGATACCACCTGTCGTTGGCATGTCGGACTCGAACCGACTAAAACCGCATGCCGTCTCGGGTACTAATAGCCGGGGAACCAGGTATACCCTAGAAAGGAAGTCCCTGGTACCCCGACATACCTCGGGTCATCTACAGACGAGTAGACGACCCCCCCCCCGTGTGGGAACCCCATGTTCCCTGTGCTCCCTGGAAGCGAGCGCGCTTCGCAACGCGCTCGCCGCCACCCCGGCCTGCTTCTGCTAGGGTGAAAGTTATACCACCCCTTAGAGTGAAAATTAAAGAATGAAGACTACTACAATTCAACACGAGGTAGGCGAATTGAAATCAGTTTTACTTTACCAACCCGTGTGGCAAGCGTGGTATAGTTGACCAAAACCCCCTTCCTAAGGAAAGACCAATGTCCAGCAGAGTACTGTTAAAGGCTGATGATGAGATACACCTCGGATCTGGATGGAATTAAAACCATGAGGAGCATATGTAGTATCACCAACGGTATCACATCTCTCAGCTGTATTTCCACATACCTAACATTTTGGTATTCATGTTCTACTTCATCATCTTCCGCTCCTGGCAGCAAGGCGTCCCTCCTGGGAGGGAGGTGCCTCAACTGTAGTAGTTGCAGCTGTCCGCAACACACCCTGGCTCCCAGCTCCCAGAGCTTCCAGCACCAGGTTAATTCTAGAGCTTTGGATAATACTTCTTCTGATTCCAGCTGGAAAAGTAATAAAATATAATTAAACTAAAGAGTTGTAATGAAAATTATAAATTAATAGCTGTTTTGCGCATTTTCGCTCGTATTGTTGTCCATTTTATGTATTAATTTTCCTGGGTTTTTTTTTTAAAAGACCGCCTGCATTAGGAATATATCCTGTGTCGCGGGGGACTTTACAAACATACATGAAACTGACACAAAGAACACCCAGACTCAGAACAACAATTTGTGGATAACACCAAGTGTTGTCCCATGTGGGGCTTGAACCCACAACACTCGGCGTAGTAGGAACCGGCGTGCCGACCGCTTAAACCACTATGCCATCTGTACAGTGCAGTGGGATATAAAATAGCCTATATATTATTCGAAATTTTAGTTTATCTCTTATCAAAATTTCATCCAATTCCGTTCAGGGGTTGCGATTGAGCAACAAACAGCTATCCCAACTTTAAGCTTTTTAGTTACCTCTGGAGGTAGCCTGTACAGCGCATTAGGTTCAGCACACTCAGCCAGCTGATTGTCAGCCAGGAGCCTGGCGCACAGACGAGCCCAGAAGCCACACGGCACGTACGACAGAAGGAGAAGTCTCCTGAGAGGGCGGCCGACACACCGCCCGTGTATACTGAGATTGGGAGATGAGTCTTCTGAAAAAGGAATCTTAAATTTAACGTAATATTCTGTTAGGTTTTTTTTTATAGTTAAATGTCATTAGAAAAGGAATCAGAGTCATTTATATTAATGGCTTGTCACAAACTATAATATTTATATATTTTTGGGTACTTTATGTCTTTTTTTCGAACTACTCAAAACAACATCACTACAGAGAGAAAGAAAACTTGACACAAACCTTATACCAACCCGTCTGGCCAGCGTGGTATAGTAGGCCAAAACCTCCTTTCTAAGGAGAGGCCTATGTCCAGCAGTGGACTATTATAGGCTGTTGATGTTATGTCTTTTTTTAAATATTCACGACTTGTAAATATTATGTAAGAATAAGTTTTTAGTCCCTTCGTGCTAAGATTATTAAAGCTATGACTGCACGAATGCCGTAGTGGTAAAAGCGGTCGATACACCGCTTCCTACTACGCCGAGTGTTGTGGGTTTGATCCCCACATACGACACTTTTTGTGATCCACAAATTGTTGTTCTGAGTCTGGGTGTTCATTGTGTCCGTTTCGTGTATGTTTGTAAAGTCCCCCGCGACACAGGACATATTCCCAATGCGGGAGTTGTGACTTTAAACAAAAAAAAACCGCTTTTAGGGACCCTCTGAAGAGGTCGTGATTCGACTCTCACCCAGGACATATAAGTAATTGTGTGATGAAAACTATCACTTGTGCCGTCTGTGTGTAACTTATCTATTATCAACAGCCTTTAACAGTCCACTGCTGGACATAAGCCTCTCCTTAGAAAGGAGGTTTTGGCCTACTTTACCACGCTGGCCAGAAGGGTCGGGTCCGGGCCCAGATGAAGTACCTAGGTCTGGTCTTAGACGGTAGGTGGCTCTTTGACGAGCACTTCCGACAGCTTGGTCCAAAGTTGGTGGACACTGCCTCCGCCCTAGGGCGACTTTTGCCCAATTTGGGCGGGGTCAAGGTCAAGTTCCGGTCCACGGCGCTGTATGGTGCACCGGGGTGGGTGGCGGCTCTGACCACCCAGAATAGGGCGCGCCTCTGTCGTCCCCAGAGGATATTGGCGGTCAGAGCCATACGCGGATACCGCACGGTGTCCACCGAGGCGGCCTGTGCCTTGGCCGGAACACCCCCGTGGAATTTGGAGGCGGAAGTGCTCGCCGAAGTCTATCGGAGAGTGGCTGATTTCCGGGAGGCGAGCGGATTTCGCCCTCCGCCTGACGCAAGACGTGCGCGAGTGGCGCGAAGCCGCTCGCCGAGCCACCATGGTCAGATGGTCGTTCCGGCTGACGCGGGTGCTTTCCGGGCACGGTTGCTTCGGAAAGTACTTGCACTCGGTCGCTAGGAGGGAACTGAGTCCCACCTGCCACCACTGCGACTGCAGTGAGGACTCGGCCCAGCACACGCTGGCGGTCTGCCCCGCATGGGCGGCGCAGCGCCGGGCCCTCACTGCAGTCATCGGAGTGGATCTCTCGCTACCGGCCGTAGTACGCTCCATGGCCGGTAGCGACAGTTGTTTTACCGCGGTCGCAACCTTCTGCGAGGAAGTAATCTCGCAGAAGGAGGCGGCGGAGAAGGCCCGGGAGGACGACCTCCACTCGGACCCGATCTGCCGTCGGCGAACCGGGCGTCGGAGGCGCGCTTATCACCGCCTCATGCCGCCCTGAGTGTGGCCGCGGGTGGACGGGGTGGGTTTCCCCTCCACCCGCATTAGTTGGCCAGCTGCGAGGGGGCGCATCCGCGTGTGCCGGACGTCGCCTAAAGAGAGGATATATTTTGAGACGGAGCCCGCACCAGGAGCGGGCCGGCACTGGGAGGGGTCCAGAAGGCGATAACTACCTGGACCCCCCCTAAAATAGAAGCGCAAAGAGGGCACACCGTGTGGTTTTAGTCGGTTCAAGTCAGACACACCGCCCCGCCGAATAGAGAACCCCGGCGGAGTGACGGTCCGAGGGGATTTACACACGTTATAAAAAAAAGGGTTTGTGTCAAGTTTTCCTTTCTTTGCAGTGATGTTTTTTTGAGTAGTTTACTCTCTTAGTTGGTTCTTACGTCACCCACGGGATAAATAGGGGTTATATACCACATGGATGGATGGAGATAAATACCACATGGACTTTATTTATAATATGTATGTATTAAGAAATATATGTGTGTTTATCAGCAGTCTGGTTACCATAGCACAGGCTCTGTGTGAGATGTCTCAAGTTACTTACAAGTCTTACTTAAATTAATAAACGGACCCTCAAAAGTACCCGTGCTGACCGTTCGAGCTTCAAACCGCCACCAATAAATCGAGAGTATTACTCCTTAGTCGTTACACTATCTTCATAACAATACTAGTTTCAACTTACGTATAAGAGTAGGTGAATCTGTGCCTCTGTGATCAGGAATCGGAGCTAAGACTCCGGGCCACGCCCTTCTAGGTGTACCCCTGGTGGAAGAAGACCAGGAACGTGACCGAACTGGCAGCTGGAAATAAAGAATAGACTTTATTTTGTATTCATTTCATACAATTACGGAGCAGGTTTTTGCTTTAATTGGAGAAGACCTGGAAAGTTCCTCCCAGAAAAGAATGACTGGGATAATTGGTGATCGTAAAAGTCCCTTGAAGTGCGAAGATTACCTGAGGAGCATGCGGTTCATGGTGAGGCAATAACGGAGGCACCAGCAAAAGTCTGGAGTCCCAGCACAACGCTAGTTCAAACTTGTTCAGAAGTGACACTCCGAGGGAGGAGGCTTCGTCACCTCGAGCCAGGAGGGGGGACGCCTTGAACACGTGCGCTAGGTCTTCGATCTTCATAATGCCTGTTGGAAGGTACCAAAATATAAGTCCATTTTAAAGAAGGTATGGGCTGATTGACCTCCTCAAGAACACATTCTTTTTTTTTTTTTTTTTTTTTTTTTTTATTTCTAAAAGGTACACTTACAGATTACTGCCATTACATGTTACAGGAAACAGATGATAGATACATATAAAGTCTAGACAGTAATCCGAATGTAGCATACACAACATGAAAAGGCAAAATACAAGGCATATGGCAAATACAAATGCTAGCCACGCTTAATCATCACCAACACTACTCAAGTTCATGTATCCACAACATAAGTAAAATTAAAATTAAAAACTAAATTATTAACAAAAAAGAAAAGAAATACTTAGAAATACCTACCACGAACATTGAGCATTTATTATGTGTGTTATGACCCTCTTGTACTGGGAGAATCTATCATTAAATACATCCACGTCTCCAATCCGATTCAGCTCGTTATATGTGCGACACATCCTTACTATTGGGTTAAAGAATGAGGTGTTATTTTTATAAATTTGTATTAAAAACACGTTGGGACAACGTGACCTGTGTCTGGTGTTAATAGAGATCGCAGACAGCAGACCAGGGGCATCGATAGTGGAGTGAATAATTTTGTGGAGGCAAAGGAGATCATACCTTCTACGGCGTACGGCTTTGTGAAACCCAGACTCTTTTCTATCTATCTATCTATCTGTGAGTTGCAAAAGAGTGGCCATAAGTTTGTTTGCCCTTTCTTCTCACAAGGCTCAACCCCTTGGAAACGGGCGGTTGTAGATCGGCACAGGCATATCATAGATTTTATATGGGTTTGATTTTTGTTAAATTTATTTGCTTACTATTTGACAAAACAGAGATTGTTGCTTTTGTGTGTGTTGATCTATGACTTAAGAATCTACATAAAAGACGATTTCAAACCATTTTGAAAATTTTATGAAATAAAGAGAGTTTGAGTTTGAACAATAATTTGTGAATCACACAAAGTGTTGTCCCATGTAGGCATCGAACCCACTACAGAATAGCAGACCAAATCTGCATCTATCAAAAGGAATAAATTTCTCCCGTTTTTACATTTTTAATTGATGTTACTCTCCTATTGGTCGCAGCGTGATGTTGTATTGCTCGATAAATGGGCTATTTAATTTAAAATATTTTTTCAATTCGACCCAGTAGTTCTTGAGATTAGTGGGTTCAAACAAACAAACAAACTCTTCACCTTTTATTATATACTAACTGACCCTGCAAACGTTGTTTTACCAAAAAAAATTTTTAATTATCAACGACCCCGCACAGCCCTCTGGGGGTGGAATTTCGTAAAATCCGTTCTTAGCTGACCTCTACTCGGTGAAAAGAATATCTCTACCAAATTTCAAGTCTTTAGCTCTAATGGTTCCAGAGATATCGTGATGAGTGACTATATACGTGGAAATCTCTTATATATATATAGATTAGTGTATGAAATTACCTATTTACAGTCTATTTGTCCATCCAAAGGTTGCCTGTAAGATATTGCTTTTTAGCGATAAGGCCGCCATTTGGACATGGTCATTAACTTGGAAAACTATTGTATGTATAATATCCTGAATTGGTGTACAATAAAGTTTTTTTTTTCTTTTATTTAAAAAGACAACTCCCGCATTAGGAATATATTCCTGTGTCGCGGGGGACTTTACAAACATACATGAAACGGACACAAAGAACACCCAGACTCAGAACAACAATTTGTGGATCACACAAAGTGTCGTCCCATGTGGGGTTTGAACCCACAACACTCGGCGTAGTAGGAAGCGGCGTGGCGACCGCTTGAACCACTACGCCATCCGTGCAGTCAAGATTATTCTATTCTATTCTAGTGTAGATTATGTACTTGTTGCCAAGAGGGCTGGTGGGTGTGGGATTACATGGTTAGATACTCACCATTGCTAGCGAACGGATTGATCTCCCTGACTGTCACGACATGAGCCAACACGTCACACAACCACTGGGGTTTTAGGAAGTACAGTTCCTTTAACGTGGCGTCGTCGTAGTGGAGAAGAACTCCTGAGAACAGATATTTATCATTAGACTGTAGTAGAATACCAACATATGTAGGTAGTAGGGTAGGCAGAGAAGTGTTAGACCCTTCATTTTGCTAACTATACTTTGGTCCCACTATATTTTTGAGACAGACAAACAGACGGGTCGCCTGATGATAAGTGACACCTCCATCTCCAGAGTCATAAGTGCGTTGCTGCCCTTGGAGCCCCCCATAATTAGGGAGAAAGGGGAGGGGGGTCCTGAAGAACTGGCTTTTACCCAATTTTCCTATTTGTATTTTCCAAAGTACCAGTTAAGTGGTAATAGGCTTCTTCTTTAAGTGCTTCTGCGACTACCGAAGGTTGGTAGTCAGCTTTGCCCCCTAAATTTTGGTTGGTATAGGGTTTGTTTCACGTTTTCCTTCTTTTTGCAGTGCTGTTGTCCTGTGCAGTTTGTTCCCTTAGTCGGCTCTTACGACACCCACGGGATGAATAGGGGTGGTGACACTCTGTATTCTTCTTCACCACATACATAACACTAAAATAAATTTCATTTTTTTATCATATTATAACAATAAATTACCGTTTTCGTGTAAGAACATAGTGGCCTGATGCAGCTCCGCAGCATCCCTGAACATACGATGATTCTTCTGCTGCATGTACTGTGTGACCTATATAAAAACATCTATATTATTTATTTTACAAAATATTTTAGTACCTAGCTTACAGCGTCCCACTGCTGGGCAAACATTTGACGACCCGTCTGGTCAGCGTGGTATAGTAGGCCAAAACCTCCTAAGGAGAATCCTATGTCCAGCAGTGGACTGTTATAGGCTGTTGATGTGATGTGAAACGAATTTCACGTAGTGGGGTCTTTTGGGTTTTTATTTCAAGAATTAACTTGTTATTATCTATACAAATAAATAAAATTTAAGTGTCTGTTTATAATGTCAAAATTATAGGTTTTTTTAATGCTCACACGGTTATTTGCACGATACCTATGCCTAAAAACCAGTTTTTTTTGTCTGTCTGTTTGTTTGTTTCGGGTAATCTTCTAAAAGGGCGGGACCGATTTCAATAATATTTTACTACCAGGTAGCTGTCTACATAAGGAACAACTTAGGCTATTTTTCTTCTCAGAAAAGCCCTTTAAAATTTTGCCCGGTCCGGGCATCGAACCCACTAAGGCAGCGATTCTCAAATTCCACGCAAACGAAGTCGCGGGTACCAGCTAGTTAAATAATATGGCGCACGGAAGCAAATCACATTTGGCATATTAAATGTTTATACGTAATAATAATAATTTGTTAACAATAAGTATTATTAAGTTAAAAATTAGATAAAAACGGCTGCATATATATATATATATATAGCTGTCCAGTATATTTCGACCTGCCCCGACACAAAAGTCCATATAATAATAATTAAATTTATACTGGACAATTTTTTTTTTAGAAAAAGGTCTACTAGCAACTGAAATTACTAGTATTCCCGTTAACCCCTGCAGCTAAGCTAAATTGCTTGTGTTAGGAGTGGTTCACTTCAGTAGTGTACTGGTCAGGATTCGAACCCACGACCTCTTGATCGCAAGTCCATCGCCTTAACCACTAGGCTTCCGCCGCTTCCCTTCATCTCCCTCTGATCTCAATGACAATCTAGTTTAGTAGTAGAAGTGGTCTAGTGTAAATTTCATCACATCATCATCATCAGCCTTTAATAGTCCACTGCTGGACATAGGCCTCTCCTTAGAAAGGAGGTTTTGGCCTACTACACCACGCTGGCCAGACGGGTTGGTATAGGGTTTGTGTCAAGTTTTCCTTCTTTTTGCAGTGCTGGTGACTTGCGTTGTTTTGCGCCCTTAGTCGGCTCTTACGACACCCACGGGATGAATTGGGGTAGTGACATTCCGTATTCTTAATCCGTCACTACACAGAGATGTAGTAGTGTGTGTAAATTTCAGCAAATACCATTAAAGAAATCCATGTTTTAAGAAGACTTGCTCTTTCCCCGTATCTATTCTCTTACCAGTCTCCTGTACTCGTCATGCTTGAGAACGGGTTCCCTTAGTTCAGCAGCCAGTGAGATGACACACTCCTCCAGCGCCAAGTAAGTAGCGGGGATGCGCTGTTCCAGCAGTGGCTCCTTGCTACCTGGTTATATATACAGAATAATAGAGAAATTTCTGGTCATATAAATAAATAAATAAATAAAATAAAATTTATTCTGTAAGAAAACACAGCATACAACTTAATATAAATTACTAACTTAATACAACTACAATAATATTACATTTTTTTAAATGCTTATAACTATTGACGTACGTGCAACACTATACTACGCTATCTGTGGTCATGAGTATTTAGTTGTCTGTGAGACTGTGATCATATATGACGTGGCGCTGACGTGGTGATCACTATTATTTTAGGTTAGGTACCAGAGAGAAACTATGTTTTGCATGTAACCAAGCAGGCCTCTCAATCTTAACCACATAGATAGCTTGTGCGGATGAGAGTTGTACGCTGTGTCGCACAGAATAGGTGGACCCTCAGCATTTACTGTGAGGGACATAGTCCGTCCCAGTACTGATTTTCAGTGCCCACCAGAGTTATTGACCACCATATCTTTAATTTTCTTTTTTTTAAAGACAACTCTTGCATTAGGAATGTATCCTGTGTCGCGGGGGACTTTACAAACATACGTGAAACGGACACAAAGAACATCCAGACTCATAACCCAGTCCCATGTGGGACTCGAACCCACTCAGCGTAGTAGAAAGCTGCGTGGCGACCGCTTAGACCATTCGTCCGAAATCATCAGGCTAAAGAGTTTCTTTGTTTGTTTGGTTGGACAAACTAATCTCAGAAACTACTGGTTCGAATTAAAAAATAATTTAGTGTGAAGTAATTTACATTATCAATCTATTATAACTTTAACATATGAACGACCTGTAACTAACATAGTCAAGCCACTGCCTGAAACACAGGTCCCACACCTAGCTCAGGCCGTTTGCAAAAGAAATTCTAATATTTTGTTTTTACCTCTTTGTATTCAATCTTGCACATTATAGAATAGTCATATACTAGTTTTATGTTAGAGTTTAAAAAAAAGCCCTTGAAAACGTTGAATAGTGTCATGGCGTCTTGAATGACGTCACAGTCTGCGAAACAAATTTGTTTACATCTGTGTCCAATGTCAACTGAAACTGTATTAACGTGAGAAAATATGCTAAAAAACGAAAAACAATATGAAGTAACCTGCTCTGTTCTATCAAAACGTAACAATAATGTTTTGCGTGGCGTGACGTAACATTTTCTGATTGGTGTTCGCTGTCACGTGACTTAATGCCTATTTTGTTCGAATTTATTTGTTAAAAATATTAATAACCTTTAACTTTTATGAGAAACAAGCCACGTGGACACAAGCCTCTTATTAATTTTTATTTTATAATATTTCTGATCTGTGTTTGTGTCTGCCTGTGTGTGAATGTATGGGGGGTTGTAAGGTCTTACCTGGAGGTTTCACACTGAACGCCACGGAGTATATAATGTCAGCGAGGAGTCTTATGTTGTGTCGAGTGTTGCACGACACCTGCGGTGGGAGATAGAGAAGTGATGATTGACCGATGATTAAAGTGACTTATGTGCAGTTTTATAAAATTGAAAATCTTATCATTATCTACTAAAGTTAAACCGCCGTAAGCTTGGCCCTCCTGATGGTTTGCGGGACGCGGGGCGTTACGTTACGTACTAACTCGATATCTTCAGATTTATTTGTTTGAGATTTTATCAACACACGATGTAATAAAAATCGAATTTATTTCCATGTATTATAATGTCAGTGTATTGTAAGTTTTTATGATTAATTGTAAAATTTAATACTGTAAAATAATTTTAATAAAATCACCTTATCTTCATCATGTAAATTATATTTAAATACAATTTAAAAATTAAATAAAATAATAAATATTCTTTATTAGAACTTTAACAGTGGAACCTCTGCAAGCCGAACTTCAAGTTTTTAAATCTTTTTGTGACGCAGAGTCGGCAGATTATCCATGTTGCAAAATAATACCGTGTGTAGCAGTCTTAAGAAAAATAACACGCACAGCCATGCTTTCACGTCAGTCACTGCCGGCGGACAGCGACGCACTAGCTAATTGGTTGAATGCACCCCCGCCCCGCGTCCCCCAAACCATCAGGAGGGCCAAGCTTACGGCGGTTTAGCTGTAGGACTAATCTAGGGCTTAACTCGCCATTAACCAGGATAGCGAAGTCTTACAACGAACTTTCGCGTTTGTTACATTTGGACATTTTTGGAGATAGTTTGTAGTTAATCTTAAGAGAAAAATCGAGGACTGAGTCTAAGCTGGGGGGGAGCAAAAACTTCACCTATATATGGGATTTGAATAGTCCGTGATATGTGGTTCTTGATAAAAAAACCGCCTTCTCTTTTTTTCCTTAATGGTTTTCATTTTCTTTAATCATCAACATCAACAGCCTATAATAGTCCACTGCTGGACATAGGCCTCTCCTTAGAAAGGAGGATTTGGCCTACTATACCACGCTGGCCAGACGGGTTGGTATAGGGTTTGTTTCAAGTTTTCCTTCTTTTTGCAGTGCTGTTGTCCTGTGCAATTTGTTCCCTTAGTCGGCTCTTACGACACCCACGGGATGAATAGGAATTTTCTTTAATATTTTTTTATATTTTAAAATTATTGTAGAAAAGTGTATCGTTTGTTGGCGATCCAAATAAATTAATTAAAAAAAACATCGGGTCATATTTCTGTTTTAATTTTCAAACACTGTATTTAGATTGCCGAGGAGGTGGCACTGTTCCCCTTCATGGTGTTATGTAGTTAATTTAAGAGGATAGTACTTTGTTCGCTAAGTGTGGTTTATATTTAAATGTTTATTCCTTATAAGTTACTTAATGCATTGTACTGCAGCTTTGAAATAATTGATTTTATCTACGTTGTAAAATTTAAAAAAAAATTAGCAGTAAGGCACAACGCGGAAGGTCGCTTCACCCCTGGCATACGGTCCCCTGGAAGGTCTACAACTAGTAGAGCATCCCCTAAATACACAAATAAAACCGTCAATATTTTATATAAATAAAAATAAACTCAATGAAAAGTCGACTTAAATTTATTTATTTAAAACTTAATGCACATATTGCACAAAGGCGGACTTAATGCCATGAGGCATTCTCTCCCAGTCAACCTTCAGGTGATGTGGAAATATGATGCGGTAGGTGCAAAATAAAATATTAAATTTAACATAATCGAAGTCCAGAGACACACACAATATATAAACACACACACACATAAACCTACATAAATTTAATAAAATATATAAATACTCAGTCGGGTACTAGCGTTGACTGTTCTGCCAATTCCCTCACAAAGAAGATCGCGCAAGAATCTTGAATGCAAGGCGGTTTGGGGACATCCTGATTTTTTATGTACTTATATTTTTTATGTTCATTTTATGTACTTATATTTAAAAAAGCTAACCTTAAGAAGGACGTAAAATTTGTAATATTCGTTAAAAAATACTTTCAAGATTTAAGAGACAGTATTTTGGTAAAACATTTAATTCCCTATATATTAATATTATAAAACTAGTTTTTGTTTGTTTATCTATTAGCGCTAATATTAGGAACTATCCGTCCAATTTATATAATTGTTTTTGCATTGGATTGCTTAATAGCTTCACACACGGCCGTCTGGTTCCAAACTAGGCAGAGCCTGTGCTATAGCAACCAGACTGCTGATAAACATACTTATATATTACTAAATACATACATATCATAGATAAATTACACACAGACACAGAACAAATTATCGTGCTCATTACATAATTATTTGTCCTGGGTGGGAATCAAACCCACAACCTCTGGCTTAGCAGTCAGGGCCACTAACCACCGAACCAACAGGCCCGTCTTACATTATTCTATGAGTCCTAAAAACGGAGTAGTTACTATAGACTTTTTTTTTTTTGCTCTGTGGCAACCCCGCGGTAAACAGCTGTTCTGAATTGCTCCCGTTTATTTTTTTGTTTTAAATATTATATTCTGTTTAAAATATCATTTAAATACCAATTTCTCACTAAGCAAATAAATGCTACTTGCACAAATTATATAAGAATAGTTCATAAATGTTATTTTAGTAAATAAACAAATTTGTAAGTGACGGTTGGGATACCGGCAAGTTACGAATAACATTAAAAAAGTGTTGAAAATTGTGCCTGGAATTTATTGTCATCGCTTTACAGGTATCGCTATTTGATTTATTTATTATTTTCTTTAATACGATTTCGGTAAAAGTGTAGTTAATTCTTAAGACGCTTATATTGACACTACACAACTTACCCTCCACTGTGTGATATCAACTCTCCTTGGTGATAATTTAACAATAGTTTGCCTTTTCACAAAGCCTTACACCATGGTTCAGACTCGTAATGCCTTGGCTCGTCAATTGGAGTCCAAGCTTCAACTGACTTTAAGCGAATTAAAGGCAACTAAGGAGAGGTGTGATCAACTCATTGGGGAAAGAGATGACAATGAAAGGGAAGTCCTTGAGACATTAAACGAGAATGAGAAACTTAAAAAAGAAATGTCTCTGTTGCATGGTCGGTATACAGTTTCTGTTGATGCCCGGAACAAGCTCCAACTCCTTGTGGACAGCTTTGATACATGTAGGGATGAGTATGAGCAGGCACTGAAAAGGATTAGGAAGCTAGAATGCCAACTACAGAAAGCAGAGGAAAAAATATCAAAAATCGACACTCATAAGCACAACCGCCTTGTAGCTTCTAACCAAAGTTTGTTCGAGGAGTTGGTTGCCCCGGGGTTGGATCGGGCTGTAGTTGACAGTCTCCATCCATCTATGGTAATAGATCTCACAGCTGACGATGATACTAGTAGTTGTACTTATAAACCTAACAAAATTGTAAAATGCAGCTTGAGAAAATTGAAAAAATACATTAAAGTTAAAAAAATAATTACCAAAACAAAAAAAATGATTCACAAACAAAAATTTTTTATTAATAGTATGTCACTAAATAGGCAGAGACTTCATCTGATTGATCAGGTGTCTATGTACTCATTAGAACTAGACAACATGTCGAGTCAATACATTAAAGATACAAGAGAATTACAAAGTGAGATTGACCGTCTTAAAGAACAACTTAGTAATATTACCTATAAATATGAAATTTCCCAAAAGCAGAGCAGGGAGCAGGTGCTGGCTATTGGCAGGCTGGTTAACTCCTGTAAATGTAATGATTCAGTGTATTCTATAGACAGCCCCAGGACAGCACATGCTCCTTCCTCGCTGCCACCACAACCTATCAAAACTTTTGTACCTGAATTCAAGGACTCCCATTTACAAACAAACAAATTGTACAAAAATGATAACATAGCAATGTTTAGTGATGAAATTGGAAAGGGCATGGGTCCCTTAATGTTAAATACACAGTTGGGACATTCATTCAGCAATTATTGCATGCCTCACTCATCTTTTAATGATATTATGGAAAAAGTTTTAAATTCCAAATCAGACCACAATGTAAATACTTCATTAGTCATTTTTGTTGGTAACAGGGGAAATGTAAACAAAAAGAAATTCTTAGGCTACTTTGAATCATTGTTAAAGTTAGATGTAAATAAAATTGTATTGTTTACACTTCCTCTTAGCAAAGGGTTGTCGCAGAAGGAAAGAAATGTTAGATATAATTTAAATATAATGATGCACAACCTAACTTGCCAAATAAATGGACCCTATTGTAATAAATTACATCTAATCGACACTAACAAGCTTGTTAGTAATAATATTTCATTGACGAAAGGTAGATATTACCTTTCTAATTATTATAAGAGACAGATAGCAATTTCGCTATCATATTATTTTTCCATTACAGCCAAGAACTTGGCTAAAACTATTGCTTCTATTGAGCAAATTGACATTACCCATAGCGACTTTGCCAATCCGTTGGCAGATATTTCTTTAGACATTAATAAAAATTTAAATGACATACCTAATAATTTACATAATAATGAGATTGACATTTCAAATAATTTAAATTTACTGATAAGACAATAGAGACTACCTCTTGCAATATTAATTTGATCACTAATAGAAAGTTCAATCACAGTAAATTTATTAAAAATAATATGATAAATAATATAAATTTGGTGCATCAAAACATTAGAGGAATGATGGGCAAAGACTTGGAGGTGGAACTGTTCATGAACTGCAATGCAATTGATATTTTTTGTATTACTGAACACTGGCTAAAAGGGGATCAGTTTGTGTTCAATTTTGACCACCACCAGGTAGGCAGCTCGTTCAGCAGAAGTACAGCAATACATGGTGGCACTATGATACTCATTAATAAGAAACTTAAATTTAAAGAGCGCCATGACATTGTTAGTTTATCAGTTGAGCGAACTACAGAAATAGCCTGTTTAGAACTAAAAGGTTTCATAGTAGTATGTGTATACAGACCTCCTTCAGCTATGTATGATTGTTTTGAACGTGTTATGGATGAAGTATTAGTTAAAGTAACAATATCAAAAAAGAAGGTCATCATCTGTGGTGACTTCAATATTAACCTATTGGAAAATTCAAGTATAGTAACCAAGTTCAAGGCACTTTTTCAATCATACAATCTGAAGAACTTGTTCTTGGAGCCTACACGAATCACTGCCACCACTGCCACATGTTTGGACAATATATTTACAGATATTGTTATTAAGGACAAGAAAATAATCAATCAATTACATTCTGACCACTGTGGTCAATTAGTATCTTTCTGTGATAGGTATGAAAAAGTGTCAGAAAAAAGAATTGTGGTGATACCTAAAACCGCAAAGCGTTGTGAAAACTTTAAGGATAAACTTAAAGCTGCTTTTAATAATTCAGTACTCTGTGTAGAGAATAACCCTAATACTTATTATAATAGTTTTTTTGAAACTTTCTCTTCAACATTTAACACCATTTTTACACCAAAAACGCTAGTGGTTAAAGGTAACGCCACATTTAGTGAATGGGCTACCCCTGGCTTACTCAAAAGTAGGAAAAGATTATACGAGCTATACGATGAGAGGAATTATAATAAAAGTGAACAGTTTCATAATTATGTTAAAGAATATTCGAAGCTGTTTAGGAAACTTTGTAAACTGGCTAAGTCTCGTTTTATTAGTTCAAAGATTAAAAGTAGTAATGATAAGATTAAAACCACTTGGAAAATTATTAATAGTGAAACTGGCAAAGATCCAAACCGTGATAATGAATTTAATTTAAACATAAACAATAAATTTATCACATCAAATGCTGAGGTTGCTGCTGCATTTGAGAATTTTTTTACTAACATTCCTGTATCAACTACTAAATCTTTGAACTCCTCACCATACCTTGCAGAATCAATTTTAAAAGAGAATGTTAGAAGAATTGATAGTGAATTTAAGTTCCAATATGTGGGACACATTGAACACCTTTGAAATTATTAAAGCCTTTAACACTATTAATGTTAAAAAAACAACCGACCTATGGGGAAATTCTGTTTTAATTACTAAGACAATTATATCTCTTGTGGCTAATCAATTGTCATTTACATTTAATCAATGTGTTGATAGTGGTGTATTTCCTGATCTTATGAAGTCTAGTAAAATTATTCCCTTATTCAAATCTGGTAGTACATCTGACCCAACTAACTTTAGACCTATCTCAGTACTACCAGTATTTAGTAAAATTTTTGAAAAAATTATGTATGATCAATTGCACAGTTTTTTTAATAATAATAATTTATTGCACAATAGACAATTTGGTTTTACAAGGGGTCGCTCCACAACTGATGCTAGTGTTGAGCTAGTAAAACATATATTTGATGCCTGGGAGGATGCCCACGATTCTCTAGGTATCTTTTGCGATTTATCTAAGGCTTTTGATTGTGTTGTTCATGAAACGCTGATCAGGAAATTACAGCACTATGGTATCAAAAATAAAGCCCTGGAACTACTTGCCTCATATCTATGTAATAGGATTCAAAAAGTTGATATTAATGCTGAGCGGTCTCCAGGCTCTGTGATAGAAATGGGAGTTCCACAGGGTTCTATTCTCGGCCCTTTTTTGTTTTTAGTATATATTAACGACTTACCTCACTTTGTCAAGGACAATCTCGAGATTGTGTTGTTTGCAGATGATACATCACTATTATTTAGACTAAAACGGACACTTTCTGATTTCACATTTGTAAACAGCGCCATTTCGAAAGTGGTTCATTGGTTTGATGTCAACAATTTACTATTAAATGAACAAAAAACTAAGTGTATACGTTTCACTATGCCAAACGTCAAGCCAGTGAAAACTACTGTGATAATTAAGGATGTCGGGCTGGACCTTGTGGACACTACGACATTTTTAGGTATAACACTAGATGCTAAGCTACAGTGGGGCCCACATATTGATAAATTGTCGAGTAGACTCAGCTCAGCAGCATACGCAGTAAGGAAAATCCGAGAGTTGACTGATGTTGATACAGCACGACTTGTTTACTTCAGTTACTTTCATAGCATAATGTCGTACGGTATTCTGCTGTGGGGGAATGCTGCCGACATTCAAACTATTTTTGTGCTGCAAAAGAGAGCTATTCGAGCACTTTATAATTTAGGCAATCGTTGTTCATTGAGGCAGAAATTTAAAGAAATAAATATAATGACAGTGGCAAGTCAATATATTTATGAAAATGTAATATATGTTCACAAAAATAAAGATAGCTTTTTGAAAAAAAGTGATGTACATGCCATAAATACCAGAAATAAAAATAAATTTGTTGTACCCGCCTCTAGGCTCCAAAAGATAAACAAGTCTTTTCGAGGTCAATGTGTCCGATTTTATAATAAAATCCCAAATAATATTCAGGAGTTGAGTATTAACAAATTTAAATCCGCAATAAAACGTGGCTTGTGCCAGAGGGCCTACTACTCGATTGTGGATTACATGGAGGACAAGAATGCTTGGGATTAATTAGCGCAGGCTATTTCTTTCTTAAGTAAAAATGTGGTGTGGCTAGTATGTTTTTTATTATTTTTTCTATTTTTTATGTTTCACTTCATTTTCTCTTGTATTCGTTTGTTCTTCTTAATCTTGTTTTCTCTTCGTTGTTTTTTCACCTTTAAGTCCTTAATAACGGACATACTAGCACACATCAAAACAATGTTGTGATATATTTAATAGTGCCATTGTATCTACTTGTGAATTGCAAAAGAGTGGCCATGAGTTTGTTTGCCCTTTCTTCTCATAAGGCTCAACCCCTTGGAAACGGGCGGTTGTAGATCGGCACAGGCATAGATTTTGTATGGGTTTGATTTTGTTAAATTTATTTGGTTACTATTAGACAAAACAGAGATTGTTGCTTTTGTGTGTGTTGATCTATGACTTTAGAGTCTACATGGAAGACGATTTCAAACAATTTTGAAAATTTTATGAAATAAAGAAAGTTTGAGTTTGAGTTTGAGTTTGAGACACAGGTGAAACTGCGAGCAACGGCTAGCATTATATGTTTATATAACTAAGGTTGCAAATAAGCACACGCTACTCTTAATAATAAGCTGTTATCGGAACCTATGAAATTCGAAACACGAATAGTGACTCTACTATACGGATAACCCCCCCCCCCCCTCGACCGACTCGAAAGACTATTGCGTTTCATTGTAGGTCAAACCTAAACCCCAAAACTAACCTCAACAGAGTCCAGAACACGAGGCAGGCCAAGTTTATCAGCGTCAGGAGCCCCCATTATTGAGGAGCGGATGAGCCGTTGGAGACATTCTGGACTCTCGTTCTCTGGCAGGTTACACTGTGGAACAGAGTAATATAATACAATAAACCTTATAAAGGGATTCGAGTACTGTCTCTCCCATACAGAGGGTCCTCTGACCAGGTAATCCTGTAAATAAGTTTTATAGTTGAAAGATTTTAAGTAAGCACCATATACAATGCAACTTGGTTAATGGGACCTGAATAAGTGAGAAACCTTCATAACTGGAACTTATGCAGGGTGGAACTTAAATTTATTTATTTAAAACTTGTACAAAAGTGGACTTAATGCCATGAGGCATTCTCTCCCAGTCAACCTTCAGGTGATGTAGAAATACGATGCGAAAGGTGCAAAATAAATATTAAATTTAACATAATCGAAGTCCAGAGACACACACAATATATAAACACACATACATACATAAACCTACATAAATTTAATAAAATATATAAATAATCAGTCAGGTACTAGCGTTGTGACTGTTCTGCCAATTCACTCCGAAGAAGATCGCGCACTGTTCTCTTGAATGCAAGAGAACAGTGTGCGACAGTGAGAACAATGACTTTAGCACTGAATTACCTCTGTTAGTGGGACGAAGCAAACCTCTATATCTGGGATTCGTAATAAGTTATACGCTCAACAAACAATCAATATTATTCGTCAAGATGACTGCGGTTGGTAGACCGCAGACCAACGGTACGCTATATACTAATCAGAATTCTATTGTGCGATGCAGGTTCTGTAGCAACGCGCAGTACAGTTTGCGTTCGATAGATGGCACTGTAGTATATATTTATTTAATATGAATTAATAAATATCAATAATAGATATAGTTGCAGTCCACGTCAAAATTAAAAATGAAAACTATACAAAATCGATATGAAAACTAACGCGCCTTTTAAAAAAATGTCCACTTTCACAGACAATAAAGCAAAAACATACTACAGCGCCATCTAACGAAGACACACTGAACTACGAAGTAACAGCTAAACCTGTATCGCGATATGAAAAGTTCTCACACCGATATAAAATTTATACAACTTTGTTTGGCTGCGATGCAGGCATGATCACTTCGCCTGGTCGAGGATCTTCGTTTTCTGTTGGAGGGGCCTGACACCTATTCCTCCACCCACACCTAATGCTCCTCAATCATGACCACATCATTATCCTCTTAGCCGAAAGACCTCCACTACCGGTCCTATGCTGCCCGCTTACAACGGCTTCCTGCGACCTTCACAGGTCGTCAGACCACCTTGACATAGTTGTCAAAACTTGTTCAACTCACATTGACGACTTGATCGTAATGCGTAGCGACCATTATGACGGGCGAGCCCGGGGCGCGAGCTTGTATAGACCTGCAATTAATTGTTTTCTTTTAACTAACATGTTATTAATGATTTTCTTAGATGATTGATTGTTTAAGGTTGTTTTTTTTTTTTTTTTTTTTTTTTTTACCACATACACACAACGCCATCTAGTCCCAAACTAAGCACGTAAGCTTGTACTATGGGTACTAGACAACTGATATACATACATATATACTTTTTCAAACATCAAATGTTCATGCACACAAATGTTTGACTTGAGCGGGAATCGAACCCGCGACCTTTGGAATAGCAGTCCGTTACGCAAACCACTACGCCATCCAGTCGTCAGGTTGTCCAGTAGTACCAGTCCAGTAGTAGGGCGTGAGAGCGAACAAACAAACAAGCTCGTATTTAAATTTGTAATATTAATAACTTAACATCAGCTCACACACGGCTGTCTGATACCAAACTAGGCAGAGCCTGCACTATGGTAACCAGACTGCTGATAAACATACTTATATATTAAAAATACATACATATTATGGATAAATTACATCTAAACACAGAACAAATGACTGCTCATCACACAATTATTTGACCTGGGTGGGAATTGAACCCATTACCTCTAGCTTAGCAGTCAGGGTCAATAACCACTAGACCAAAATCCCAAGCAAATTAATATCACTAGTTGGTGCCTGTGACTTCATTTGTATAGAATGGTATGGTATTTAAATAAACGGCGTGAGGGGTCTATGGACCCATAGTCGGGACGAAGGTCCCTTCGATTTTTGCAAACATTTGCTATATATGAAATATGAAAAAGATGTAGAGCGTCGACGCGCCAACTGAAGTGTCGGAAAAAAGTCTTGTTACAAATTTTTTGGTCGCTCGGTTCCAAAAATTAAAAATTTATTTACGTAACATAAAGTAACCTGTTTTTGCATATAAAATGTACAGTGTACTTCTATTAAAAAAATCTTTAAAATTGTAAGACAGTATATGTTCCTAATGCGGAAACATTTACGACACTTATGACGTCACAAACCGCTATTCCGTACTAGTGCTGTACACAACGTACCGTTCTGACGTTTCAAGAAGACAAACTAATTTACATTGATTCAAGTACAGTAGGTTACCTCAACCAGTTGAGTGCTCCGGCGAGACCCTTCCTCCCATCTGTGACTCTCCACACGACGAGGTACAGAGAACGGCGGGAGAGGAAGTACTGATGGGTGGCGTAATACCTAGAACAGACATTAGTATTTTAATCACATCTTCATACCCTTTCTGTATATTTTTTTTTGAGTCAACACAGGGACGGAAGCTGTTACATTGTAATACGTGATCACGTTGAGTTTTTAATTAGAAAATCTATACAAATAAATAAAATTGGAGTGTCTGTTTGTAATATTAAAATAACCGCTTTTTAATAAATGCATATGTATGTTTACACGGTACTTTTTGTCTGTCTGTCTGTCTGTCTGTAAACGCGGGTAACACCGCGGGTCTCAGCTAGTCTATAATAAACAAGATGTACCCTACCAAGATTCGCTGTGGAACATTTTGGTTGCATTCATGAGAAATGAGGAACCAAACTGCTGCGAAAAATAGATAAAAACAGTATTTGAAGTTGGTTGTATTCGTATTAGGTTTTCTTAATTGGTGCGGAACTTTTTGAGTTTTTGAAGCGTACACAAGTCAACTTATATATAAACTAGCTGAGACCCGCGGTGTTACCCGCGTTTGTTGTTATAACCATGAAGCTGAACTAAAAATGAAGCTAGTCAAAAAAAAGTAGCCTAAGTTACTCCTTATGTCATCAGCTATCTGCCAGTGAAAGACCCGTCGAAATCGGTCCACCCGTTCCAGAGATTACCCGGAACAAACAGACAGACAGACAGACAAAAATTGTAAAAAATGTTATTTTGGCATATGTACCGTGTAAACATACATATGCATTTAGTAAAAAGCGGTTATTTTAATATTACAAACAGACACTCCAATTTTATTTATTTGTATAGATATATATATATACTAGCTGATCCCGCAAACGTTGTTTTGCCATTTACATTATTTAAAAAACAAAAAAAAAATAGGGATATGAAAAATAGATGTTGGCCGATTCTCAGACCTACCCGATATGCACACAAAATTTCACGAAACTCGGTCTAGCCGTTTCTGAGGAGTTCAACTTCTAACAAGGTGACACGAGAATTTTATATATTAGGTATATTTATTTATTTACAGAAGAGGCGGCAAACGAGCACCTGATAAAAAGTGACTTCCATGAACGCCTGCAACTCAGGAGTGACAAGCGAGTTGCCGGCTTTTGAGGAAGGTTTGAAGGTCGTGCGAAAATACTGTAAATTATAACTTGTTCCACAGATGGGTTGTGCGAGGCAAAAGGTGGAGCGCCAACTATCCAGGTGATGAGGATGAATATTTTGTCGTGTGGAACGATGGTGGCAAGTTGCGGCCGGTATTAATTCGAACAATTCCTCGGAGCTCTCTCCAAGATTACGATAAAGAAACTTATTACAAATAGAGTACTTACTCCTGCTGGCCACCAAAATCCCAGGTCCTGAAGGTTACGGGCCCTCTAGTGGACCGGTTCTTCTCATACACCCAGGTGCCGATGTCTACTCCCACCGTAGATACGTTACCACGCCGCGAAGACTTGTTGCCCATGCGTTTTGCCCAGTGCTGGAGAATTATTTTTCTTCTTTATAAACAGCGTTATCTCTGCTAATATTATAAAGGTGATGCTGCTCGGCCACTGCACGAGGAGCAGCAGCGGGGTGAGGGGGGGGGGCCAGGGGCGCGCGGGAACTATGACTTGATACACACGTCCGAAAGCCGAATAACAAATTGATTTTTTTTTTATTTAAATTAATTTTAATGGATATTTTAGGGGTTATTTAGTTACGTTACCAGCACGTAACAAGGTCTATTATTTAGGTCTCCAGCTCAGGGTTAGCAGGCTAACGCCCTTACAATATGGTCCTTCGAGCCGGAATATGGCGTTTCTCACCTCTGTCGGTTTCCTTCGATGCTGAATGGCTGACTCCTGTCTCAGGCATTCCAACAAACTGGTCTTTCCTATGCCCTGAATGAAATAAATAATAATTAATATAATGCACAGAAGGCTCAGAACATAAAAACTTTTGACACAGTGTTGTTTGCCTTAACTTTTGTGTGTTTCTATTCTTAAGAAGTAGCACATAATTCCTGGTAATAAAAGTGCCACTGTTAATGGTCTGCCTACCCTTATATCAATTTTGTACTACTCGACCAACGCGTGGAATGCGGCCTCCCCGCCCGAACCTCGCCTCAGGTACCGCGATCGTCTTAGTACCGTCCGCAAAGTTGATATCGCTTGCACGTGTTTGCTTTTGTTTCTGTTAGTTGCCGTTCGTTTGTTAAGTTTATTATAACTCGTTAAATAAATAATGTTGTTAAATAAACATGTGTTTAATAAACATACTTATTTACTTTTGATTTGTAAATAAATATTTATATTATAACACAAAGAAGCACCCAGAACAGGAATAATTAAATATCTGTAGATAACATAAATAGTTAATCAAATTAAATAAAAATTAAATTAATTAAATAAATAAAAACACCGATCGATCACTTGGATTCTTCTGCTATCCGTACCCAAAGTCAATGACATCACGTTTGACAGTCGTCTAGTTCGCTTGGTCGAATAGTATTTAATTATAAGACCTCTACCTATTGAGAAAAGAAAAAAACTAAATTTATCATTTTTTATTATTATTACCCGAGTTTTTTATTCGAGTCCAACATGCATCTTTATTATTTAGCGCCAGTGAGCTGAAACCTTGGGGTGGTCACAAATAAAAAGGCATTGGAACCCGCTTACCATAACACGACTTCATGAAAAACGTACCTGGAGTCCAACAAGCATGAGCTTCATCCTCGCATAAGGTCTGGCTTCCTGGAGTACACTCTTCAAGTATCCCACGATGTCCATGCTCTTGTACCGGCCACACGCCAGCATCGACCTCAGAGGCTCCTGGAGGGAGCACCCCACTGTGTTGAGGTTCCACAGACGGGAGAGAAGACCCATTTGAGGCGGGAGTTCCGTTATATCTGGAATTTGAAGAATTATTGTAATTTGGATATGTAAAAAAAAACAATACTTGTCTTTTAATGGCAGACGGCAAACGGGCAGACGGGTCACCTGATGGTAAGTGCTTACCGTCACCTGTGGACATCTGCCACTCAAGAATCACAAGTGCTTTCCCGCCTTTTGACCGCCCTCGCCTATTAAACTCAGGACGAGGGGGGGGGGGGGATTCTTGATCACTCGGTAGAAAGCATTGAGGAATACTTCACACCGGTTTTCTGTGAGGCTGTATGTATTTCTGGAGCCGCGATAGCGTCGGAGATTTACGCCATTGCCTACCTCTGCGGCCATAAGTGCGTAAATGTTTATGTATTCACAAAATAATTATTAAAATTTCAGAAATTGGCACATTAAAAATAACACAACACTAATATTTATATGTCCACACCTTTATTCCCGCTGATGTTGAGAACAGATAGATTGTTGAGCTCGTGTATGGCTGGAGGGATAGTCTTCAGCAGGTTGCAGGAGACGTCCAGCATCGACAGCAAAGGGAACAGCAGCCGACCCTTAAGGGTAGAGCCGGTGTTCTGGAGAAGAAGGGAGTTACAAATAAATAAGAGATCTTCTTCTGAAGAGAGATTTCTGACTTCATTATAGGAGTTCACAGGTCGTGGGTTTTCATATATACCGACTAGAAATATAACATTTAGTGCTGTATAAAGAATTTCAGACACATTATTGACCTTCTCTTCTCTTACTTCTTCTTCTTATTTACTTAGCCATAGTCGGATAAATATTTCTAATACTCAGCTTAACTACTATTCTCAAAAAAAGTTAGAATTACATTACGGTGTCACACACCATGTTGGATTCTACAAAGGCTTCCCTCAAACTTAGAAGTTGTAGAATCCAAGAGAACTTACCCATTCATCGTCCTCGTCAGTTGTGGAATCCTCGTGCTGTGCTGCTGAGACGTACCCATCATCATCTGTCGTCAACTGGATGCGCGTGAGCAAGTTGTTTGCCAGGATCTAAAGAAATAAAACATTTATTAATAAAAATAAATTCATCACAATATTTTAATACACATTCTAAACTAGCTATGTTCCTGGTTTCACTTGTATTAAAGGTATTTTATGTATGACCACTGGTTTTTTCCCCAACTCATTCATTCATGCTGATCGATTGAATAGTTAAGGGTATAAAGCAGATATTTCGATGATTTTCACCGAAGCACAACCCCTTTCCCCCCCCCCCCCTCGCTGGATAGCAGCGCACTTATGTCTCTTGAGTTTTAAGTCCGTCTGCTCTTTTGATCCCTAAACCAATAAAAATCGTGATTTCAGTTCCTTAGTTTATGTCACTGTATATGACCATGCCAACAATTCCTAGTAACTGTTCTTCCTCACCAGAGTCCTGAGTCCCTCAAGGCGCAGGTGTCTCCTGGCGGGGCAGGCGGCGCTGAGCAGCTGCGACCGCACTGACCCTCCAGATCTTGGGCGAGAGCGCGTGCTGTTGTTCGAGGGGTTGGGACAGTAGCAGGCCAGAGGATCACCTTCAGTGGAGCCGAAGTTTTCCACCTGATAACGTTTTTTTTTTGTGTAAATACTACAAACAAATATGGCGCACCGAAGCATATTTTATACTAGCTGGTACCCGTGACTTCGTTCGCGTGGATTTTGAAAATCGCTGCCTTAATGATGTAGTACTGTCACGAGGCTTGCAGTCCATAAGGCCTCTGGTCTGATTCTGGGACCGGGCAAAAATTTTGTGGGCTTTTTCTTGGAGGACAAATAGCCTAAGTTTATTCTTATTTAGACAGCTACCTGGTAGTAAAACATTATCACAATCGGTCCAACCGTTTTGAAGATTACTCGAAACAAACAGACAGAAAAAATATTTAAACTAATGTTTAAAGTATCGTGCAAATAGCCGTGTGAGCATGAAAAAAAACCTATTATTTTGACATTACAAACAGACACTTCAATTTTAATTATTTGTATAGATTTAGAAAAAGTGCACAAAGCTAACATTTTTAAACAATATGTGCTATAAAGTTAAGAGTTGTTTATTAAGTTTATTAAGTTAACGGCATCATAAAGCTATAGGCGTCTGATCTGTCATTGGTATAAAAGCCTATAGAAAGAGAATTTAAGTTAAACTGGCCAGGCGATCTCCACTATTAATTAAATCTTGTAATGATGTGTGTATTTCTGAGTTCCTTAATTATTATGATTATTAAGACAACTCCCGCACTAGGAATAAATCCTGTGTCGCGGGCGACCCCACAAACATACATGAAACGGACACAAAGAACACCCAGACTCAGAACAACAATTTGTGGATCACACAAAGTGGTGTCCCATGTGGTGTCACCCACAACACTCGGCGCAATAGGAAGCGACGTGGCGACCGTTTAAACCACTACGCCATCCGTACAGTCAAGTTAATCAATGAATGAAGACACTTACCTGGGGTAAACTGGGCCAGCAAGTAATTTCATTGTGACTCAGGTCCAGCTGTCGAAGACTGGTCGGATATGAGGTCACGTAAGACATGGACCTAGAAACAAAAAATAAAAACTTTACACATCTCTAGACACGGCTGTCTGATCCTGAACAAGGCTAGTATATAAATATGGGCAGGCTCTGTCTTCTGCCTTATTTAAATACATACATTTTATAAATAAACTACACCCAGATATATAATTAACCATACTCATCACAATTAATAATTCTAGGTGAGAATCAAACCTACAAACTCCGGCTTAGCAGTCAGGATCACGAACCAATAGTGGGTCTAGCCAATAGGTTAGTTATAAAAATGCTTTGTTTTACCGTGAATATGAGTCACAACAGACTTCTGTCTGGTCTGGATGAATAACTTAGGCAAATAGTGGAAAACAGAACTAAAACGGGTTCAGCTTTTGGCTCAGTGTGGAGTGATGGGTGTTATGTCCCTTCAATACAAAGGGAGGCTGCTTCAAGCAGGCGAGGTGATCATGCCTGGAAGACCGCGGCCCAACGTCTGATGTTAGGGAAGTTATATATATATAGAGAATTGTTCATAATGCAATACAGGATTAGCAGTAACTCTGTAGTTCAGTGTGTTTTCGTTAGATGGCGCTGATATATGTTTCTTTGTTTCACCATATGTGGAAGTCGCCACACGCAAGTTCAAAAAAGAGGGGAGAAACGGTAAATCGAATGCCCATTTTACAAATAAGAGATGTGAAATGGAATCCTATGTCTCTTACTTCCTATACAGTATAAGTGATCATCAATCATCATCATCAACAGCCTATAATAGTCCACTGCTGGACATAGGCCTCTCCTTGGAAAGAAGGTTTTGGCCTACTATACCATGCTGGCCAGACGGGTATGTGCAGGTGTGTTTCAAGTTTTCCTTCTTGTTGCAGTTCTGTTGTCCTGTGCAGTTTGTTCCCTTAGTCGGCTCTTACGACACCCACGGGAAGAATAGGGGTGGTGACATTCCATATTCTTAACCCGTCACCACAAGGACGTGTGATCATTAGGCGTATATTAGTGTATAATAAAAAAGAGAATGTATTAAGGGGGAAAGCGTCAGCAATGGAGTGAACAGGTCTAGGTTGTAATATTGCTGGTCATCACTAAAGCCCTTACCTTAGCGAGTTATAAGCCATGTTGAGTCTGGTGAGATTCGGTGCATTGCAGGCCAGGGCCTGTGGTACGCAGGTGAATTGGTTGTGGGCCAGGTTCAGCGCCACCAAGCACGAGCCGCCACGTGTTGGGGTGTCGATGGCACCCTCTACTATACCCCTCCAAGTATGGGCGCGGCGGGCTTCGGACCAGCTATGGAGATGATTTGAAAACGTCTCGTTAACTTAGCTCCAGAAGTAATTAATTAGGGACAGAGGGACAAAGAAGGGATTGAAGTTAAAATGAAGGGAGGAACATAGAGTTAATAATAAATTTATATGATGCTGCATGAGATTATAACAGGAGAGTTATAAAAATGCTATTTAGAATCAAAAAAAGAGAATTTGAATGAAATTCATTTTTAGTATTCAAAGAAAAGGAGATTTAGAATTAATAGAAGATAAGAAGAATGAGAGTTCAATTTGGAAGGTTAGAATGTAAGTTAAGATTGGTTGAATAAAAAGAAACTGGATGGGTATGTTATAAGGTAAGAGAAAATTGCGTAAGAGAGAGAAAGGCAGAAAGAGAGAAAGAGAGAGAGAGTGAGGGAGAGAGAGAGGGAGAGATAGAGAGATAGATAGATAGATAGATAGATAGAGAGAGAGAGAGAGAGAGAGAGAGAGAGAGAGAGAGAGAGAAAGAGAGAGAGAGAGAGAGAGAGAGAGAGAGAGAGAGAGAGAGAGAGAGAGAGAGAGAGAGAGAGAGAGAGAGAGAGAGAGAGAGAGACTCTGAAAATACTTACACAGCATTCCCAGCTCTATTACCCAGCACCGGGATCACATTGTCGTCATCATCGTCCAAGGTATCCGACTCACTTCTCTCTATTGACGGGCTCCGGGAAGAAGACTTCTGCGAAATACATTTAACAATTACACACTTAATTAAGAAGAAAAAATTACTCTTACACGGTTTCTGCTGGTGCCAAGAAATACTGGAATTCAAAACTCACGATTTTCAAACTTCTAAATGACTGAAATTTTAAGAAATGCGTTCCTAACGTCATTAGAAGGAGTAAAAGAAGAGAAAGAGAGAAAAAAGGACGACTGTCTAGCGGTTAGCGATCCTGACTACTAGGCTACAGATCGTGGGTTCCATTCCCACCCAGGACAAATATTGTGTGATGAGCACGATCATTTATTCTCTGTCTGGATTTAATTTTTATATGATACTACCTTTTGCCCGCGGCTCCGCCCGCATAAATGTCGGTTATCTCGGTAAAAAGTGACCTGTGTCTTTCCTCAAGAATCAAAGTATCGCCAAACTAAATTTCATCAAAATCGGTTCAGCGGTTTTTGATTCCTCATACAAACTTCCAACCCCCTTTTCTTTCCCTTTAAGGATGATTCCGTGTAGTGACGGATTAAGAATACGGAATGTCACTACCCCAATTCATCCCGTGGGTGTCGTAAGAGCCGACCGAGCGCAAAACAACGCAGGACACCAGCACTGCAAAAAGAAGGAAAACTTGACACAAACCCTATACCAACCCGTCTGGCCAGCGTGGTATAGTAGGCCAAAACCTTCTTTCTAAGGAGAGGCCTATGTCCAGCAGTGGACTATTAAAGGCTGTTGATGTGAAGGATGATTTCTGGGATAAAACCAACCTTATGTCATTTCCTGGGACACGAACTACCTCTAAAACAAATTTCATTTAAGTTTAAGGGTGAAGAGGTAACAGACAGAGAGGTGAAGAGGTAAGTGGAATTATCTTTTTTGTCGGCAAACACGTGGGTGTTTGATGCCTCTGTCTACTTCCTTGGGGATAAAAAGGTGAGTGTTTGTATGAAGTGTGACAAAAAAAGAGAAGAATAGTTAAAGGAACTAGAGGTGACTGCATGGCGTAGTGGTTTAAGTCACCCTCTTCCTACTGCGCTGATTACTTTGTGTCATCTACAAATTGTTGTTCTGAGTCTGAGTGCACTTTGTGTCCGATTCATGTGTGTTTGTGAAGACCCTCGTAAGAAAGGATATATTCCTAACGCGGGAGTTGTAACGTCCTTTACCCCTTCTGTCTTGAAGTTTTAGGTGTACATAATTGTAGGTCATAAGTACTATGCGACCTGAATTGCACTTTATTGCGTTAGAACAAGAGTTGTTATTTATTTATTTGATTTTATTTAGAAGAACTTCTGTACTAGATATGTTTATACTTACAGACTGATTACCGATAGCGAACTGCGCGCTATTGATGGAAGGAGATGCGCTCATCTGCGGTGATGTGTCGGTGGGTGATGCCAGCTGCAGCGGGCTGGAACATTCCGATTGGCCCTGGAACAGAGACGTGGTTTAGGACAAATTGAATGTCGATTGTAAGAGAGAGGGCGTCCTGATATTTTAACGGGACTCTTTCTTTGTTATGCAGTTATCTTTTGTTTCTCTTGTTTTAAGCATATCAAGGTAGAGCTGTAATATATTTAAAAAAAAAAACCTTTTTTATGATGTATGGCAAAGACGAGCCACCAGATGGAAAGTGACTTCCAGCACCCATGGTCTCGTACAACTCGAGTGTTATACGTTGCACGTTCTTTTCTTGACGTTTTGATGGTCTTTTTCCCATTCAAGGGACTCTATAATGTCTGTTTAAAATACGGAGGTCCGTGTGGTGACGGATTAAGAATACAGAGTGTCACCTACCCTATTCATCCCGTGGGTGTCTTAAGAGTCGACTAAGGGAGCAAAATACGCACGGTGTGCCACTCTGCGCCTGTAACAGGAGGGATCCGGGAACAGCTGTTGTTAAGACATCCGGACCCCTCCTAGCGCCAGCCCGCTCCTGGTGCGGGCTCCGTCTCAATATTTTTTTCCTCTCTTTAGGCGACGTCCGGCACACGCGGACGCCGCCCCCTCGCGGCTGGCCAAACTAATGCGGGTGGAGGGGAAACCCACCCCGTCCACCCGCGGCCACACTCAGGGCGGCATGAGGCTGTGATAGGCGGGCCTCCGCCGCCCGGTTCGCCGGGTCCGAGTGGAGGTCGTCCTCCCGGGCCCTCTCCGCCGCCTCCTTCCGCGAGATTACTACCTCGCAGAAGGTTGCGACTGCGGTAAAACAACTGTCGCTACCGGCCATGGAGCGTACTACGGCCGGTAGAGAGAGATCCACTCCGATGACTGCAGTGAGGGCCCGGCGCTGCGCCGCCCATGCGGGGCAGACCGCCAGCGTGTGCTGGGCCGAGTCCTCACTGCAGTCGCAGTGGTGGCAGGCGGGACTCAGTTCCCTCCTAGCGACCGAGTGCAGGTACTTTCCGAAGCAACCGTGCCCGGAAAGCACCTGCGTCAGCCGGAAGGAAAGGGTCCCGTGCTGCCGCCCTGCCCACTCGGCGATGACCGGCTGGAGAGGCTCCACGGCGGCGAAGCCAGCGCGTGGAGTCTCCAGCCGGAACGACCAACGAGCCATCGTGGCTCGGCGAGCGGCTTCGCGCCACTCGCGCACATCCTCGGGCGGAGGGCGAAATCCGCTCTCCGCCCGGGAGTCAGCCACTCGCCGATAAACTTCGGCAAGCACTTCCGCCTCCAAATCCCACAGGGGAGTTCCGGCCAACGCGCATGCCACCTCCGTCGAAACGGTGCGGTAACCGCGTATGGCTCTGACCGCCATTACCCTCTGAGGGCGCCAGAGGCGTACCCTATTCAGGAACCGGTACGAGGACCGAGTTGACCACGATTGAGGCGCCAGGGGGTGGACCACGACGGGGCCCATGAAATAACAAACCCTATACCAACCCGTCTGACCAGCGTGGTATAGTAGGCCTAAACCTACTTTTCAAGAAGAGGCATATGTCCAGCAGTGGACTATTAAAGGCTGATGATGATGATTTGATAAGCATAGAGTGAACAAGAGCCCCAATCTTGCAATATAGGCCACGAGAGAGAGAGATGGATAACATAGGTGTCTCTGTCTCTTTCTGGTCGAGCTCTGTGGTTGGCTGGGGAATATGAGGGGTTAATAACCAGCCAATCGTATCTTAGCTAAACAGAGGCAGAGGAAGCTATCAGGTATCCATCTCTTGTGTATCGATTCCACTTACAGGCAGCTGTACCCCGTGTTCTTTCTATGGTTATATCTGTATGCTGTTTTAGGTCTTTAGGTGTACATGGTTTCGCTAAGAGAGAGAGAAGATATACATGGACTTGCCTTATTGTGGCCCTTTTCTAGTATTCTTCTAAGATGACCAGCAAAAAGGGGGAAGGAGGGATTAGACGCGTCTCCCTGTAAGACACTTGGGTTAGGATTTCAAATGTGTTGAAAAAATAGTATTCCATTTTAAAATAAACATAAGATATATCTTTTTTTCTATTGACTTTCCCATTTTAGCCTTCGCGTGGTTCCAACATACTCACAATTTGCCCATCTTTAATTTCCAAAAGTGGAAACTTGGCGGCTATAGGCTTGCCAGAGGTCAAGTTTGTACTGCCCTAATTTAGTTGGACTAAATTATAGTACGCAAAATTTTATTATTTAATATGGCTCTGTCTAGTCCTCCGAGGTAACCGGCGTGAGGGAAATAATGAATATATTATAATTCCTTCTATTTATAGGACAAATCACATATAATAATACTACAAATTACAAATCACTTTAATTGCATATCAGCCCAACCCTTTAACTGAGCAATTATTTATTAATTTCTACATGGTCCTTCGTAACTCATAGTAATCCGGCTCGAAGGACCATGTTGAAGTTTATCGTAATGGTGAACACTTACTTTTATAGGGATAAAGATTCACTTTTATCTTTAAAAATGTGTTTTTTTTAATATATCTTCACCAGAAAACCAGTAAGATGAGACTTGGTCCCATCAATAAACGTTTAAGTGCACAGAAGCCGTATGTCTATATGATTACTATCTTAAACTTCATACCTCTACTCCAGTAGGCAGGTCTCTGAGATGGTTGAGGGCCGCACTGAGGTCCCTGAGCGCCGGGGCCCTCCACAAGGCGGCTGGTAGCACTCGGAGCTTGTTATTAGACACGTCCAAAGTAGACAGAGACGGGAGACGGAACAATGCTGATGGGAGCTCTTCTAGGCGATTGTCCTGAAAAAATAATAATCGGATTCCTCACTTATAATTTAAAGGGAGTCCCCACAAAGAGAGGTAAAATCCTAGTCAAGCCACGTAACAACGCGGCTATGCTCGCATACAAGTTTTGATGTGAAATATCTGATGCGGAGGGCCAGACCGGCTGTTGGTGTGGCGACGCGTTACCATGGCATGTGTCGCCACGCTATGTGATAATACGAGTACATGTAACATGTAATGCGGTGTGGCAATATAATTAACAGGCATAAAATCATCAACAGCCTATACCAGTCCACTGCTGGACATAGGCCTCTCCTTAGAAAGGATGTTTTGGCCTACAATACCACGCTGGCCAGACGGATTGGTATAGGGTTTGTTTTAAGTTTTCCTTCTCTCTGCAGTGCTGTTGTCCTTAGTCGGCTCTTACGACACCCACGGGATGACTAGGGGTGGTGACATTCCGTATTCTTAATATATAATCCGTCACCATATGGAATATATAATATAAAATAATAATAATAAATTAATAATAATTTTATACCTGTCAGAGGTCCCGCGACAGGTCAATTTTTAATATCGTATCCCACGGGATTACTACTTCTCTGAATTCCTTAAGGCTAGTCAAAAGTCATAATGATTGATTTGTAACGGTTGTTACAAGAAATTCTTTTAAAAATAATATTGTATTCGGGGTATACTGGGTTCGATTCCCACCCAGTACAAGTATTTGTGTGATGAGCACGATCATTTGTTCTGTCTCTGGGTGTAATTTATCTATAATATGTATGTATATTTATCAGCAGTCTGGTTACCATAGTCCAGGCTCTGTCTAGTTTGGGATCAGACAGCCGTGTGTGAGATGTGTAAAAAAAAGAAAAAAAAAGATATTATTTGTTATATTTTGACTGATACCGTACCTGCAGGTAAACCTCTTGTAAAACAGGTGCCGTGTATAGCTCTGGTCGTGGTCTCTTTTTGCGTCTTCTCTTAGTCTCTAGTTCTTCTTCGAATTGGTCTTCATTGGTGGGTAATCGTTCCAACTTATTTTGAGCTGCATTTAGGTATCTGTAAAATAAAATGAAAAGTCTTCATAGCAGCTGCTGTCCAGGTCATCACCATCTGGCCATTTTCCCAACTTTATTTAGGGTCAGCGCAATTTTCACAGGGTTTGCACAGGCTTTGTTTAGTTTAATGACCACCAGCCTCTAATCCAGGCTTCTTCAAGTTACAACTAAGTACACAGGTGCTCACCTGAGACTCAGCATGGTGAATAGTTCCGGAGGTAGCAGACGCAGTTCGTTGTTGGACACGTCGAGACGAGTGAGGGCGTGGAGGGCATGGCTGGCTCCCGCACTCCCCGCCCCTCCAAGACGTGAGTTCACACGAAGGGCCGCCAGCCTCAGCCAAGACATCCTGGAGACATGAAAATGATATGACTAAAGGTTTATCAGCTCTGATAAAACTAGATGAGATAGTCAAATCAGTGTTAAGCAATTCATCGAGTGAGTGAGGAGGCACAACTCCCCCCTCCCCCACTTGATGTCCATCCGCCATGTACCATCAGGTGACCCATCTGCTCGTCTGCACTCTCTACCATAAAAAACTCGGTAGTAATTTTATGAAAGAACCATTTCAGTTTTAAGCTGAATTTACATTTAATAAATGTAAATATCAGCCCGTACCATTCACCATTCGTTCACTTATTCACTCATTCGTTAGTTCAATGTAATACTCTTAAAAGAACTGACTTTAGCTGTGATATTTGTGCGCGCAGTTCCCGCCAGTTCACCATCACGGGTGTTGTGGGACAGAGAGAGCTGTATGTGAGTGCACTATCGCCGTCCCGCTCGTTGAATACCGTCTCCGATATTGTAGACTTGTTCAACTTATAGTCTGGGTCTGGATACGCCTAAAATTTGTACATATTTTGATTAATTCATAATTTATTTATTTGCTGATCAAAGGTGTGTACAACCTTAACGGCATGCAAAAATTGATTACAATAATTGTCAATTGATTTAGAATAAAAAAATACATTTGTCAATCATCGTCATCATCATCAACAGCCTTTACTAGTCCACTGCTGGACATAGGCCTCTCCTTAGAAAGGAGGTTTTGGCCTACTATACCACGCTGGCCAGACGGGTTGGTATAGGGTTTGTGTCAAGTTTTCCTTCTCTTTGCAGTGCTGTTGTCCTGCGTAGTTTGCTCCCTTAGTCGCCTCTTACGACACCCACGGGATGAATAGGAAACTAATAATATTTTTATAGCATTATTACTAGTTGGGATAATCTTATTATTGTTGCTTAATTAAATAAGTTTATTTGTAACGTTAAGTATAATTGTAACATTTTGTCATTTTTTATATTTCATATTGTCATTTTTTATTTAATCTGTTTATTGACAAATGTACTGCACAGAGAAGGAAAACTTGAAACAAACCCTATACCAACCCGTCTGGCCAGCGTGGTATAGTAGGCCAAAACCTCCTTTCTAAGGAGAGGCTTATGTCCAGCAGTGGACTATTAAAGGCTATTGATGATGATGATGATTGTTTTATGTATGCGAAGCCTATCGCGTGTATTCGTCCTTCTACTTCGTGTAATGGTGTCTGCCAAAGTCTCAAATAATTCTGGATTTAACTTTACAAAAGTTGCTGTTTTAAATACATATAAAGAATGCAAAGATTAATATATTATAATAAATAAATAAATATTGTTAAGGCTTCGGATTCAAACACTGGAGAATTATTGAATGGGGGAAGTTTGCGGTTTCCTCTGGGATAAGGCCGGGAATGACCTGAAATCAAATGGTCTGAGTCATCCCTAGAGTATGGCGCCCGAGGCCACTCGTAGGGGGTAGTTTTCAGTGGAAATTCCATGTACTCCTGTATATTTCGTCCCCAAGGAGCCGGCGATTCGAAGGGATTATTCACCTCGTCAACAAAATAATCATCACTAGAGACAAATAAGATTACAGGATTATTTTTAATTTCTTTTTTATTTCTTACCTTCGTAGCCAGCAACTTAGCGAGGAGATCAGTGAGAGAGTGCTTGGCACACTCCCTGATGGCTCTGCAGTTAGGGTCAGAGGCTCCGTGCTGCAGCAGTAACTCTGCTATTTGCACGTTCTTGGCACGAGCTGCTATTGCTAATGCTGTCCAAGGTGTATCTCCTTTAAGAAAGACGTTATTTGTAAATTGAGAGTACATTTTGGATGTACCAGGTGATACTCCTATACTGGTAGACGCCTAGAGCTCATAACTCTTAAAAAAACATTTTTTAAGGCATAGACGGGGGGGGGGGGGGGCACAAGCATAAGGGTCACCTGACGGTGATCACCACCCTCCATGGATACCTGCAACTTAAAGAGTCGCAAGTGCGTTACTACCCTTTCAGAAACCCCTCCCAGGATCAGGGTGGGGAAAGCACCCGTAACAAAAAAACTTCCATTCACATTTTTAATATTACTTATAGTCTCCCCAGATAATAAATTTACATTAATAATAATAGAGAACAGACAACATGTGTTATAGAAAGAGATGAAAATAAAATAGAATACGTACTATCAGCGCTATAGTTAGACCTGGCAGGAGAGGGCGCCGTGGTCCCTCTTGGACCTCCTAGAGCGGCAGATGCGCTGCGAGACCTCCGACGGTCTCTACTGCCATCATGACCCACCTAGAAAACGAAAACATTGATATAAATATGTCATCACTACTAGTTTAAGAAAGCTGAAGAGAGAGAGAAGCTGTCAAGGAAGGGAAGGAAGGAACGGCTTATGTTAAAAGGTGTTTCCTGGTGCCGCCAATTCGAATTGTAAGTTTGCGACCGACCGATTATTTTTACATGAAAAAGGTTTTATAAGCAACATGGACACAGTAGCTTTCTTGTCCTATTGGAAACGCCCGACTCAGTGTACATCACTAGCTTAAAAAACATAACTTATGATGCCATAGACAGGACTGCCATACCATGATTGACATCACTTAGTTCCGAAGACTACTAACAATCAGGATTTTCAAAGGCATGTAGACAATTTTTTTTTTAAATACCATAATTATAGACCGAGGTAGAAGATTACCTGAATATTTACTGTAACATTTAAGGGCTCATCCCTTAGCACTCACCGTATCACCCGGTGGTATAGCAGCAGCATTGGCATCAGCGCCAGCAGCGAGCAGTCTCTTTAATAGGCCAGCATGTCCCCCCCTCACTGCACAAGATACACAAGAATCTCCTCCACGTCCGGCTTCTACAATAACCGGACAGATACGTTTTGTGCCGGACCAACGATCCTATAAATTATCCAAATAATATTTAAAAAACTGATCAATAAAAGCAAAGGAGACGGTTAACCATCGGTAATAAATAGAGATATTTTTCCGTTTAGCTAGATATCTGAATATATTTAAAAGCATGTCTTGGAGGGCCGACTTAGTTTAGTCGGAAGAGTGAACAAATACGTACTGTTCAATTTTGTAAGTCTTTTTTTAAATCTTGTTAAGCAAATTACCTTTACATTCAAAATCTCACTTATTAATATGCCTAAATCTAGTTCATTTTTTTTAATTTAATCTAACGGAAGCATTTGACTATTTGCACTACTAACTATTCAGTTACTTTTAAGAACTAATTACGTGAAGTGTTATTACTATAGCTTATTTATCCTTATTAAAGTTCATAACATATATTAAACACATGTTTAATACACCCATATTAAAAATTTAATAAAATTCATAAAGGAGTATCACAAGGATGTAATCTAGGTCCACAATGAACAACCGTTTGAAAACTAAAGTTTTTAACTACGATGTAATGGAATATATTAAACTTACATTATTAGAAGAAGACCCCGTCAATTTGCTGACAATAGCATGTATACCAAGCGAAATGCCACTGCGTTGTGGACTGAGTACTTGAGCAGCGGCACCATTTTCTTCCTCCTAATGAATAGGTAAGGCAATAGAAAACTTAGCTTACAAGGCAGTGCAGAAAAAGGGCATCAGAAGGTGTAGAAGTTAGTAGAAAGTACAAATATTCTGATATATGACGTAAAATTACGTACAGCTTCAGTTATGTCAAGCTTTTAAAACAAAGTAAATGTTTCTAGTAGTTTTTGTTTTCATTAATACCGTGCAAAAACTGTTAGTTACTAGTAATATTAGCACACATAACATTTTAATCTAGGTTTTATCTAAAACCAACCACAAATCAAACCTTATACATTTTTTATTAAATATCAAAATCATACCTGCGCTTGGGCATGTCGTGGTGTGGGCGTGGCCTGCACTTCGTGCGACAGCAGCGCATCTACCAGCGCTACGTTTCCGAGTGTGCACGACACGTACAGCGCCGTCTGACCGCTGACATCTCGCGCGTTGACGTCAAACGCTGCTGCGTACTGCCATTCACCTGATGGGTCCCTAGAAAGTCAAAGATATATAGATAAATTTTAAACGTATATGGTCCTCGTCAATGACGGGCCTGTTGGTCTAGTGGTTAGTGACCCTGAATGCTAAACCAGAGGTCGTGGGTTCGATTCCCACCCAGGACAAATATTGTGTGATGAGCACGGTCATTTGTTCTGTGTCTGGGTGTAATTTATCTATAATATGTATGTATTTAGAAATATATAAGTATGTTTATCAGCGGTCTGGTTACCATAGTACAGGCTCTGCCTAGTTTGGGATCAGACAGCCGTGTGTGAGTGTGTGGGGATATATTATTATATATTATATTATATTATATACTACCCTCTATGGGAATGCAATCATTTTCAGACAGAAGTCAAAGGCAATCATGGTGGCCTCCCGCCCTCCAGCCTCCCACCACTTATTTGTTTGTTTTTATTGTGCTCCTTGATTGTTTTACGTTTTGTGATATAATTTTTTTCTTCCCACTTACGTATAAGTATTGAGAACACTTTCGGGGTATGGATACTCCAGTAGGAGAGTCACTATCGCTGCGTGACCTCCAATACATGCAGCGTGAAGAGGCAGCCATTTTTTCCACCGTCTCTTGCTGGAAGGATGATAGTAAAAAAAAATCAGCTCATATTTCTTAAAATACAGTCATATTCAAGTGATTGAAAAGTTGAAGTATACATCGTCCACATAAATTCCTCTTAATCATACAAGATCCTTACCTGAACCGCTTCAGGGAAAGCAGACAACAGCAGCTTCACTATTTCCACATGCCCATGATAGCATGCGATGTACAGAGGACAGTACTTAGTCACGGGATGGGCACGGCCATCAGCACCTTTCTCCAGCAAGGCAGCTACTGCTGGAGTCAGACCTGCTTCTGATGCCCTGTAAAACATAATAACGCCGATATTTTGTTAAGAGTTCGCATTGGAGTACACCATCTGACTCTAGATAAGATTTTTTTATGTTCACCTACTCTACTGATACTAATAAAATATTCAAACATTATTTTTGTTACAATTAGTATGCCAATAGTTGTCAAAGGCCTTCTCCAACTCTCGCCATTTCTCTCTATCATCAGCTACTTTTGTCCATTTGCCACCTGCTATAGTTTTAATGCCACCTCCTATAGTTTTCATGTATTTCTCTAATTTATGTATACCTATAACCAGTTCAAAATGAATCCATCCAAAGATTGCCGGGAAGAAATTGCACTAAGCGATAAGGCCGCCCTTTCCACATTACATCTGTTGTTAATTTTATCTCCTCTCTTATTCTCTATATTTATTAACCTCGTAACTCAACATCTTCAGTGTGCGTATCACCTGTATGCTGATGACCTGCAGCTGTACTCACAGACAAGGGTAGAGGACGTAACGCGGGCTATTGACGAGGTCAATCGGGACCTGGAGGTCATAGAATCCTTTTCGATGAGATTTGGACTGTCAGTTAATCCGACCAAATGTCAGGCAATCATAATAGGCAGCAAACGGATTATGAGCAGATTGGATACTGCCTCTATCCCACCGGTCGTCTACAATGGTTTAATTATTCCATTCAGCCCGGTAGTCAAAGACCTGGGCTTACTTATCGATTCATTCCTCGATTGGCGAGCTCAAATTACTAGCGTGAGCCAGAAAGTAACTGGCAATTTGCGAACATTGTATCGGCTCAAGAATTTCCTACCTCCTAAAACTAAAATTACGCTCATGCAGTCCTTAATAATGCCAATAATTGACTATGGTGATGTGTGTTATTTCGACCTGAATGCAGATCTTCTAAATAAGCTAGACCGTCTTCTCAATAACTGCATTCGATACATCTTCAATCTTCGGAAGTATGACCATGTGTCTGCTTTGCGTTCCCAATTAAACTGGTTGCCTATTCGCCTCCGCCGCAAACAGCGCGCACTTACCTCTCTATTTGCATTTCTCAATTCACCGTCCTCACCTACTTACCTTGCTCCATACTTAAGTTACCTGTCTAGCAATCATGACAGAAACCTTCGCTCAGATAACAATCTGCTTCTCTTATGTCCCTCTCACAACTCCGACTTTGTGAACTCTTCGTTCTTTGATCAAGCAGTACTACTCTGGAATGCGCTCCCGCTCGAAATCAGGATGTCCACAAACCGCTTTATATTCAAAAAGAAGGTACATGCTCTCCTTCTTAAAGAAATGGCAGAACGGTCTAATCCATAGTTAAGTATACCTCATATTCAGGTTTTCATAGTGTACGAATAAGATGTGTCTATGTATCTATATAATATAGTTGGTAAGAAAAACTCTTCAGAGGCTACTAGAAGACCCCTCAAGTTTGGGTTCATTTGATTTGTTCTGACAAGTCCAACTAATTGAGCTGGTGGATAATGGAAATCTTTTTTATTTTAATTCAGTATTCTTTATTCATAATAATAATATTTTCGTACATCTGACACACAACGCCATCTACAGACTGCACGCACGGCGTAGTGGTTTAAGCGGTCGCCACGCTGCTTCCTACTACACCGAGTGTTGTGGGTTCAAACCCAACATGGGACACCACTTTGTATGATCCACAAATTGTTGTTCTGAGTCTGGCTGTTCTTTGTGTCCGTTACATGCATGTTTGTAAAGTCCCCCGAGACACAGGATATACACCTAATGCGGGAGTTGTCTTAAAAAATTTTTGTCAGAAATACTCGATTGTACTCCGAAACAAATATTTGCAACATTTTATCCGACCCGGGAATCGAAACCGAGACCTCAGCACAGCAGTCGCATATGTCTCTATTAAATCAGAACTGTTTAATTTGTAATGTGTAGTGACGGATTAAGAATATGGAATGTCACTACCCCAATTCATCCCGTGGGTGTCGTAAGAGGCGACTAAGGGCGCAAAACAACGTAGGACACCAGCACTGTAAAAAGAAGGAAAACTTGACACAAACTCTATATCAACCCGTCTGGCCAGCGTGGTGTAGTAGGCCAAAACCTCCTTTCTAAGGAGAGGCCTATGTCCAGCAGTGGACTATTAAAGGCTGATGATGTGTGATGTGTTTAATTTAATATTAAAGCACGTCTTATAACTTTTTCTAAACTATGATTTCCAATACTTACACGTATAACAATGTGTTCGCACCACCAGGAGTCAGGTTGGCTATGAGACCGGCTGCACTGCCGAGGGCGTTTAGCTTCTGTTTGAGCTGAGAGCACTCACCCCTGGAGACCAACTCCCGGAGAGAAGCGTGTTGAGATAAGCGTTCTCGTTCCAAGGCATCTGGTGACAAAAAAGAGTACGTGAGAGAATGCATGATCCAGAACGTATTTTGGCAAACAGTTTCATAGTTCTTTCAAACATCAAGTCACTGTCTGGTATAGCAATCGGTGATTACCAACATTTTCGCACTCGTTTACTTTCTGCTTTAATACAGACCATATATATAACTAGAATATATCCACATCGGATCACTGCAGATATTTATATTCCGGTATTATGACATAGAATTTTCCTGAAAAATCTACTAATAACCCGACCATCATTCTAGAAACTTCCAGAACATATGGGCACATTCTGGAAGGGTCGAACTTTATCCTGGAGCATTTGATTAGTTCCGTGACTTGACAACATATTAGTAATGGCGCCGTTCAGAAGCATTTCTTTCAAGAGGTTGGTTCGGCTATGCGGTTCACCAAGTCGGCTTCCTTCGTCATGTAAATAACCTGCCTTTGTTTTTTAACCTAGCAACACTTTATTTTAATAAGAAAATAATATTACAATTCTTCTTACACTGAGTTTATTTATCTGGTTTAAAATATCTCTCGTTTAAAATGATGATTATTTACTTAATTGATCTGACTTCGGACCATTACTTACCATGCTCCTTCCAGGGGTCCGCTACATCATCTATGAAGTAATGACTCGCGTCATAAGCAGTGTCTGCAGGGCCATCTTGGGTAGATTTCTGAGCAGCTCGTCGAGCCGCAAGTCGGAAACGATCGAGGATTTTGGAAGGCATTTTACGACCTCAAGATTTAATTGTTTGGACTAATCTGTGTGGAAATTCGTGAGGAATGCGGTTCCAAAAACTGTTTTCTTAACTCTTGCTAGTGGATTCTGGTATTAATTAGAAGTAATTTAAAGACATCCTGTTGTTGCTATGTGTTTTTCATTTGTATAATATAAGATTATTTCTGCATTTTAAGTAAGCGAGATTGAAATTAAAACTGTAAGACATAAAACTTCGATAAGAGATCCTTAATTATTACCCGATCCTAAGATGTGTTAAGTGGCTGCAGCGCTGTTACTTGTATTATGGCAAAAAAAAAGCTTATACTGTCAAAAGCTGGAGTTGGCGTCAAAAATGTTGTGGTTATATTTATTTACTAAAATTAGATAAAACGGTTCTGGCTCTGACTTCCCAGCAGCAGTCAGATCGAGTTACAGGCAAGCTACCCAGATCAACTCTTAACCAACTTTTCTTTTCATATTGAAGTCCCACTTTTCCCATCTACTTCCTTAAGTGCCAGATTGACAGCAATAGGCTTGCCTACTGCCGCCAACCTGGCAAGGGATTAAGCTAAAATTATAGTCTTCAAAGTTTGGTCGCTTAATAACCCGGATGGGATAATCAAAGTTACCCCTTCCGAAACATAAACGCGAGTGTATGTATATACGTATATAATTCTAGCTGACCCGCGCAACTTCGTCTGCGTCTCTCAATAGTAATAAATTTTCTCCGTTTTTGAAACATTCTTCATTGGTGCTCCGCTCCTATTGGTCTTAGCGTGATGATATATAGCCTATAGCCTTTCTCGATAAATGGGCTATCTAATACTGAAAGAATTTTTCAAATCGGACTCAGATTCAGTAGTTCCTGAGATTAGCGCGTTCAAACAAACAAACAAACAAACTCTTCAGCTTTATAATATTAGTATAGATATAATAATATTATATTTTTAAACACTACACGCGGCCGTCTGATCCCATACTAGGCAGAGCCTGTGCTATGGCAACCAGACTGCTGATAAACATACTTATATATTTCTAAATACATACATATTATAGACAAGGTAGAACACAATACTGTGCTCATCACACAATTATTTGTGCTGTGTGGGAATCCATCGACGTAGCTGTCAGGGTCACTAACCACTAGACCGTTTTACCGTGAGAGTGCCATACTTCGAATGGACCGGCTCCACCGGAGTGATACCACAGCCTCACAGAAAACCGGTGTTAAGCAATTCTTTCGTTGCCTTTTACTGAGTGAGTGAAGTTACCGGAGCCCAAATACTCCTTCCCACTGACTCGAGCGGGAGGGACTCCAAGGGCAGCAACGCACTTGTGACTTTTGAGTTGCAGGTGTCAATGGGCGGCGATAGTTGCTTACCATCAGGTGACCCGTCTGCTCGATTGCCCCCTTATACCATAAAAAAAGACCAACAGGCTAGTAAGTTTGAACACACAGTATGTACATTTTCAGTAGAAATAAACATACTTACTACATCTGTATCTGGCAATAGTATCAATGCCTATCTCATTACCCAGTGCAGTCTTTAAATCGAAGCAATTTTTTAAACGTTAGCTTCTCTTCTAATTTATCTTTAATATACATATATATACTTCCGTGTGGTGAAGGATTAAGAATACGGAGTGTCACCGCCCCTATTCATCCCGCGGGTGTCGTAAGAGGCGACTAAGGAAGCTAACGTAGGACAACCAGCACGGCAAAGAGAAGGAAAACTTGACACAAACCCTATACCAACCCGTCTGGCCAGCGTGGTATAGTGGACCAAAACCTCCTTTCTAAGGAGAGGCCTATGTCCAGCAGTGGACTAGTAAAGGCTGTTGATGATATATGTATATGTATTTGGAAATATGTATATAAGTATGTTCGAACAATACTGGAAGAAAAAATAGAAGGCAATAAAAAACGAGGAAAGCCAAGATCAACGTACACACAGCAAGTAAAGGAAAAAGTTGGAGTCGCTGCCCATCAAAAGGTAAAACAGATCGCAGAAAGTAAAGAGTCGTGAGACTTAAGACTTAAATTGAGAGAGAGAGAGAGAGAGAGAGAGAGAGAGAGAGATAAGTATGTTTATCAGCAATCTGGTTACCATAGTACAAGCCCTGCCTAATATGGGTGCCGTGTATGAAAGTTGTCAAGATACTGAGAATATATATATTTTTTTTCTATCACATTCACACAACGCCATCCAGTCCCAAACAAAGCAGAGCTTGTACTATGGTACTAGACAAGTGATATACTCGTAAATACATTTATACTTTTTTTTTTTTTGTAAATACATACTTATTATACATAGAAACACCCAGACCAAATCAAACATTAAATGTTCATGCATACAAATGTTTGACTTGAGCGGGAATCGAACCCGCGACCTTTGGAATAGCAGTCCGTTGCACAAACCACTATGCCATCCGGTCGTATACACTGTGGCGGTATAGATATCACAAAAAATGAAATAACAGATAACACGGTTCAATATACGTCGGTTAAAATAAAAAAATAAAAAATTAGTACGAAAATACAGAAATGCAAATTTAGAACAAACTAAATACAATAAAATAATTTCCGAATTAGAACACCATTGATAACATGAGTCGGTGAACTGTACCTACACGGCAGCGTCGCAATGTCGGCGACATCAAAACGACGCCGCCGCCGCCGCCGCCGAACTTTACATTCTTATTACCTACCTACCAATCACTTCACTTGCTTTTAAAAATCTATTTATAAAGAATGCGATTTTATTCACGTGTTTATTTCGTGAATGCTCGACTAGCTTCCGACCCAGCAGTACGCGTCACTCCTTGAAAAAGTAGTTACCTTGGTTGTCTCGTAATCTTTGTACCGCCCTTACAAAAATTCGGCAGTCTGTAGGACATACACGATTGACTCCATACGTGTCCGTAAAGCAAAAGATGCGTTTGATAGAGTTTTCCATAAATTAACATCATAGCAGGATATTCCGCGGCTGTGAAGGTCACTCACGGCATTATGGATGTTGATATCGATAACCCAATAAAATTAAAAGACTGATAATGCACTCAGTTTCACACTACACTACACACAGAACCTAATAGTGACTTTTCAAAATAAAATTAGCAGGACTCCTTACATTACGAAGTCTTGCGCACACGATAACATTAATTGTTCACACCATTGCCGTGTATTATGACGAAAGCAATAAGACTAAACAATTATTACCACAAGAAAACTTCTCTAAACAAATATGTATCTCATAAACAACAACAATATTATTATTACGGTTATTTGTCGTGAGCGCATCTACAAGGATACGGAATAGCATAAGCTCGCCGGTGGCCAAGGGCCGACTGACTGTCCTTACTGGATGAACTAATTAAAAACGCGTGTTGCATCGTGATGACGTAATAATCAACATATTTCGTTCGATTCGGGTGTAGTAAAAGCGGCAACGTGTGATTACCGCGCCGCGCCTACAGCTGATCGCCGCCTGAGGTCAATGTATTATGACTGCATGTACACATGATGTTGCAATTTACGAAACACAAAAATGAGTCCTGTGGCTAAACTACTGGATATATTTTGTTCATATTTTGCAAATCGCCTAGAAATTAAGGGTAGAATATGTGGCTTAAGTATTTGTGAAAGGAAATGAAACTCTCTGTATATTAAAGAAACCAACAACAAAGATTATCAATTTTGTTATAAATACATCTTTATGCATATGAGCAACAAAGATAAACATCTATTTATCACTATTAATGAATATTTTATGCAAAACAAGATGATATATAATATAGGCACAGGTTCTCCTTGAAAAATCGCGTCAGATATTAACAATTAAAACTTCCACATGTTTTACGTACATTTAATCATCAACACCCTTTAATAGTCCATTGTTAGACATAGGCCTCTCCTTAGGTTCCAGGGTATACCTGGTTCCCCGGCTATTAGTACCCGAGACGGCGTGCGGTTTTAGTCGGTTCGAGTCCGACATGCCACCGACAGGGGGTATCCGAGGGGATTTCCGCACGGAAAAAAAAAAGGCCTCTCCTTAGAAAGGAGGTTTTGGTGTACTATACCACGCTGGCCAGACGGATTCATTTAGTGTTTGTTTCCAGTTTTTGGACTGCACGGATGGCGTAGTGGTTTAAAGGGTCGCCACGCCACTTACTACTACGCTGAGTGTTGTGGGTTCCATCCCCACATAGGACGACACTTTGTGTGATCCACAAATTGTTGTTCTGAGTTTGGGTGTTCTTTGTGTCTGTTTCATGCATGTTTGTAAAGTCCCCCGCGACACAGGATATATTCCTAATGCTGGAGTTGTCTTTCTAAAAAAAGAAAGTTTCCCTTCTCTTTGCAGTGCTTTTTTGCTCTCTTAATCAGCTCTTGAGTTTCATTGTTAGACCATACCCAGTCTATTAGACTCGTGGTTATGAATGTCATGAGTTCAAACTCGAGGAGTTCAAGGGTGTTTATCTCCTAGCTCCACCAACATTACAGCTCCAAGATGCCAAATTTTAAGATTGTTATCAAAACGACCCATACATACGAAGTTACATTTCGATACGACAACTGGTATACCCGTGTTCAGGACTTCACAGTACCAGCTACGCATAGTTTGTGTCTAGGTACCTCCTCGTTGGGGTGCGTGGTCCGGAAGGGGTGCGTGGTCCGGAACCTCCTTGTGGTGCACCCTGGGCAACGGAGACGGCAGCGCCTCTCTCCCTAGGTGGGGGAGGCGCTGCCGCCTGCGGCCAATTCCGGCCGAGGTGGGAACGGCCCGTCAAGGGCTGTTCGGAGGGCTGCTTTCCGCATGTCCCTCTGTTTGGCAGAGGGCATAGGGGAGAGCGGGCTGGGGGCGGACGGGTCCACTGCCGCTGGCTCTGTCTAGAGGTGGTGGACACTGGTCTGACGCAGACCACCGTCCGGCCATGTCGTAACCCTGACTGGCAACAGTCAGGAATGACGGCTCTTCGAGGGCTACGAGGAAGGCAACCTCTATA